AATTCCATTTAATTAGTGATTAATTCGAGTGTTAAATAGTCTTTTAGAGCTGCAAATCGAAAGTTTGAGGGGGGGGGGGGGGGTTCAAATCGAAAGTTTGAGAGGGGTGCAAATCGAAAATTAAAGTTTGTCCCCGGGAAGGGTCGCTACGCCTCTGGGGGTGACACCATTAAGTGCCGCACCGGGTGACACCCGACCTCGCTACGCCACTGTATATATATATATATATATATATATATATATATTATATATATATATATCTATATATATATATATTATATATATATATATTTATATATATATATATTCATTGTTATATACAATCGCTTAGTTTAGACAAATTTTACCTCAGCCACTTATCGTCGGGGAAAACAAGATTTACCTAAGTTGATTTCTGAAAGTTGACCCCCTCCCTAAAAACCAAATCAGCAACAACAACAAAAAAAAAAAATACCCAATTTTTAGCTTTACAATTTTAACATAATGATCATGATTTTTGTTGATCTATTTCGATGTATTACAAAAGTATGCGCATTTTGAGCCCCCCTCCCTACCCTAAAAAAAATGAAGGCACAAACAAAATACAAAACAATACGTAGTTTAAACAATTCCCCAACACCCCAAATGAAATGTCGACATTTCTGGACGACCTGCTTAAATTATATGTGAAATTAAGTTATATATCTCAATTATAAAACTTATGTAGCTATTGGCCTACATATCCTTAAGGACCGTGAATATATTATAAAACACAAAGAGGATCGAGTGATGGCTCATCATTTTTTTAAATTTTATCATTGATGAATGTATCTCTAGGCCTATATGTAATAAAAGTAATGTGGCTTTCTTTATTCCCTTTGTTACAAACAATTTTCAATATAAAAATAAATGGTTGGGTGAATTTGTTGAACAGCTGGTTTGTCATTGTCTTTTCATTTTACACAAAATAATGCATTACATCTGTTTCAATGAAGTTGTACTGCAGCAAGTAATGTTCTCTATAAATTTTTAGTTAAGTGATTTTCCATAATTTATTTGAAAAATTATAATGGTTGTAGTACCCAATTGTGAATTGTATTTAGGGGAGGGGGTACTAAATAACATATGGGGTAAGGTGGAGGGGCAGAATGTCACATTGATGTGCCATATAATATGTGACGATTCCTTAAGCGTATTAGATCTAGATGTCTATTTGTTTTCAGTTCTACGCATTCAGATGACAGGCCTAAGAAGAAAGGAAAAGCAGACTATACTGGTATACCGGTATGTTTATTCTTAGATTTAAAAAAAAAAATTACGTCGATAATAAATTATGCCTGTTTGTCCAACAGAAATACATATGTATATCGTTGGTAAATTGTATTATCAAAACTCAATTTTAAAAGATAACAAATACTATTATTTATAAACATATTTTATATTTCAAAAAAATATTAGCGATTTAACTATAATTTTGTAATAGGTTAGGCTAGTCTTATTTAAACTGTTTTTCTTTGAAAATCTGGCCAATATATGTGCACGTCCATAATAACTAGCCTGTGCGCTTATTCGCTACTGCTACTCAGTCTGGATAGGTTTATTCGTCATGGCTGCTGCCACTGGACAACATTTTTTTGAAGGGACTGAAAAACTGCTGGAAGTCTGGTTTTCTTCCTCTGTAAATGATAAAACATGCGATCTGCGAACGATTGAAAGGCAAGAATTTGGCTTTTTCTTTAGTTATTTACACGATTGCTTTTTTTTTAATATGAAGATTATGATTAAGTTGATACAATTTTGCTGCATCTTTACTTTCACGTGTCGGGGAAACGTGTCGCAGACCGTGATGTGTATCACTATCACGCGACCGGTTAGAAGTGGAAACTGCTTATGACGGCACAATGGTGCACCTGCTTAAAACTATCTTAACCTTCTTTTTGTAGGACTCAAAGTTTTATTTTTGAAAATGCATTTATATTGACATTACAAGCAGATTTTTCAAACCAAGAAAAAAAAGGCCAGATAGACAAAAGGAAGGGCAGAGCACATGCCTGTGCACCGCCAAGAGCCCGACATAGCAGGTCACTTTGACACAGATCTGAAATCTAGATTCTAGTCTAGATCTACTTATTTTATACATTACATTATCTAGATCTAGGTAAACCTCCATTTTAGCGTATTTTATTCTCCATTGCTTGTTTACCTCCAGTTGAGCGTATTTTATTATAACAACCGAAACACACCAAAACATTAGGAAAACACGATTTATTATTTGTATTGTATTTTTGTTTTCACAAATGAATAAAATGAATGTTTAAAAAACACGACTTGTTTATTTGTATTGTATTTTTGTTTTAACAAATGAATAAAAAAACAACAAAGAGACTGACTGAAGTGCTTTGTTCGTTGGTTACAAAAATAGAGATGCACACTTTGACAATTAAGTGTTCCAATTTCAACTAAACTGAATAAAAGTATTAAAAGGCACAATAATGCTGCTAAAAGTGGGCCGGGGGGGGGGTGGAATTTGGTGACGGATGGCTTGGAGTGTTAGAGAAAGTTTGACAACAAAAAAAATAATGTTAGAGGTCGTCCATAAATGACGTCACACTAGTAGGGGGAGGGGCAGAGGCGTAGCGCGGTTGACACCATTTAGGGGGGGGGGTGACACCAAGGCAAAAAATAGCAAAATATATAGAGAAAAATGATAATTCCACTTAATTAAGTGATTAATACGAGTGTTAAATAGTCTTTTAAGAGGTGCAAATCGAAAGTTTGAGGGGGGGGGGGTGCAAATCGAAAGTTGAAAGTTTGTCCCCGGGAAGGGTCGCTACGCCTCTGGGGAGGGGGGGGGCGTAATTTTGTGACGGTGTGTGTTGAGGGGACGGGGGTTCAGATGGTGCTACGTCATTTGGGGGGGGTCTTGCTTTTTGTGGCGACACGCTTTTTTTACGATTTTTTCCTTCCCCTCCCCTCCGTTACACGTCGTCACAAAAAGTCAGACCCCCCTAAAATGACGTCACACCACAGCCTACACCCACCCCCCCCCCCTCAAAATTTCTGTTGAATTTTTCTTAAAACATCGATACTTTTTCCAAAATCTTGTCAGAACTCTGTCAACATAGAGTATTTTGATCAATTCCTATTACAATTTATTAAAACCGTTTTCTAAAACGCGAAATAACGGCTAAAACTCGTTTTTCTAACATTGCTTTTTTTATAATGCAAAAAAAGTGACGTCACACCATCTGAAACCCCACCCCCTCCCCCTCATCACACACCGTCACAAAATTGCGGACCCCCTCTCCCTTACGAGTGTGACGTCATTTATGGACGACCCCACGTCAATTTTTTTTTTTAAAAGCCAGAAATTTACTCACACAAAAAATCATACTTGATACATATATCAAAATATTTGGAAGGATGGTAGATTTACTATGAATTTAAATAACATACAACTCTATAGTAAAAATATTTTTTTCAGTTTTGGCGAAATTGTCAAACAAAAAAACACAGAGTTTGTACATTTATTGCATAAATACAAAAATATAATACAGAATAATTAACAGTGTATCAGTTTCACCATGAGACAAATGCCTTTTTAAAAAAATACGATACAAATAAACAAGTCGTGTTTTTTAAATATTCATATTTATTCATTTGCTAAAACAAAAATTATACAATACAATTAATAAATCGTGTTTTCCTAATGTTTTGGTGTGTTTCGGTTGTTATAATAAAATACGCTCAACTGGAGGTAAACAAGCAACGGAGAATAAAATACGCTGAAATGGAGTTTTACCCTAGATCTAGATCTAGATGAGGCATTCCACTTTCATATTAAGAGAATGAAAAGATGTTGAGGACCCAACTTGTTGATCTATGAATAATAAAATAAAAATAAGGTGTTACAAAGCTCTAGTCTTATAAAAGTCAAAGTCTAATTCTAGAACCAATCAAGATAAGTCTGTAATCTAGATCTAGCGATTTTTACTAGGTTAGTGTTAATACCCTAGTTAGATCTAGCTAACTGAGCTGGCAGCTAGATATAGGCCTAAAGATCTAGTGCTACCTAAGGTCTTGTGCTTTATAGCTAGATCTAGGTTAAACCTTATTTATTCAACAAGTCCTATTGAAACGTAACTTGACATTTCTAGGGAGATTCCTTTTTTAATTGATTAGTTATACCAGTCTCTGGGGTTCTGCTAGATCAGCCACTGACCAATGAAATGCTTGTAACACATGCCTGGGAGAGCTGGTTTTAAAAACTTACCATTGTAGTAGTACGTCAATATACCCAATAGGCTTAATTATTATAATTAGGTCTATGATGCATAGACCTGCATTTTTATTTTTTGTAAATTGAGGGGTTAAGGAGTTAAAGACAAAAATGTCTTTGATTTTATTAATTTGACCTTTTCTAGAGTCTAAATAGTTTTTCTTACACAATTCCAGCCTAATTGCAGTAGGCCTATGACTTCAATACTTTTTCATTCTTCACACCTATTATTTTATTTACTGTGTTAGAAAATATCCATTGCAAGTGGTTAAACCATTTTCAGAAATGATAGGACTGTATAGAACCAAGGATTGGTTGCAGTTATAAACATAGGGTGTTTTACATCTGGTGCCAAATTGATTAGCTAACTTGATGTATGAATAATTTAACCTAATTCTATTGATTTGTAAAAGGTGCTTTGAATTTTCTTGTTTTATTGAATATTTAGTTATGACTGTTTTTTTTCTAACACGTATTTTTTTTTAATTTTCAGAAAAGATTGGGAGAAGCTTTTAAAGCTTGTAAGATGTGAGATCATCAGCTGTATGAAGCATGATGATATGGATTCATATGTTTTAAGGTACATTTCAAGCTTTTAAAAATGTTCTTGACCTGTTAATATATGAAGTCGAGGGTATATTTTAAAATCAAGTTAACAGTCACAGTAAAATATCGAGCCTGTAAAAATATTTTTGTTTACAGTGTCACAATCTTTAGCAAGCCACTAGATGCTGCACTCAGCTCCCAGGCAATGAACTTAATATCTGGACAGTGTTTGTTCAAATTTTAAGTCACCCAAGAGACAAAAATTGATGAAATTTGCTGCAAAAAGTGAATATGTAGTATTTTCTTTGAAAGGGTTACGTAGTCCATTTTAAAAAGATTCCATTCTTCCTTTTTCAAGAAGATAATTTTTGGAAGTTATCCAAGTTATTACTCGTGTTTAAAAAACAAATACAACTATTACCTTTACAGATGATAATTTAATTATATCATGCTATTTATTGCTATGGTACAAATTCTGGCTAAAGCACAATTTGAGACACATTGGAAACTGCAGGTTGCTTAACTTTAGCTCTACCCGCTGAGTTGGTCACTCACAGTTTCCAGGGCAACTGTGGAAAGTTTAAACAGATATTGTGTGCGAGCAACTGGTTGGTAAATCACATTTTGGACAGTTGTAACCTGGTGGTCCCTTGTGTATCAGAAAGTGAATTAGGAAACTAAAGTGTCAGGTCTGAATAATGAGCTCAGGTTTTTGTACCCCAAAAGTCTAATATTTGGCTTACATTTTGTCCACAGTGAAAGCAGTATGTTTGTTACACAGAACAGATTTATTCTGAAAACTTGTGGGACCACAACTTTGCTTATTGCAGTGAAACATTTAGCCCAGCTGGTAAAAAGAGAGTGTGGCTTTGATACAATTGCAGTAAGTTTTTTTTCTTTACCTTCTATTGTCCTTTATCTATTTCCTCGTGTCTTTCTGCAAGTTAAATAAATTTTTCTTGTCTCTCTACAGGACATTTTCTATTCTCGCAAAAATTTTACTCGTCCAGAACTTCAGCATTACTTGCACCAGTCTTTTGACAAGGAAGTGGATCATTTGGATCAGATGTTCACAAGTAATTAACTTTTTTTGGAATTGGTTTGTCTCTTGCAATATTGCCCTATGTCACATTCACATGTTCTGCTGGTGTCCAGTTTGTAATGTATTTTAATCCAACAACTTCACAGATGGTGCTGCCTATGTGCTTGGTAGGATGAATAAAGATTGTTGGTAAGTTTTATTCATGTATTATGTTACATACTGTAAACTTAGCTAAATAGATAAAGCATGTTTGTAATGTTATAATGCAAACAACCCCATTTTCTCCCCTTTCTTTTAGGTACCTTTACACTCTTGAGAATGGTGGTGTTGAAACACCAGATCAAACATTTGAGGTAAAAATGTTTTTATGGTAGTATTCTTAAATTTATCATTTCAAAAGTAATGTACCATTGTTTGGTCAGTTTTCAGTATAAGTTGATCTATTATTTGCAGTTGCTGATGTGGGACATGTGCCGCAGTAAAATGGAAATCTTTACTCGTGAAGTATCTGTTGATGGTAAAGATGCTACTCAGGTAAATTTTGTTGTGGGATCTCCAGCTATTGTTTGTTCATTTGCAACATGTTTCTACAGTTGCAAGAAAACAGTGCAATGAGAAATGAATGCGCAAATACAATTTATATTAATACTTTAATTTTGTTATATTTTGTTGAAATATGATTTATTATGCTATATTGTCCATGCAGTCACTCTGTTTTAATGTCTATAAAAGTTCTATTTGAGAAAACAAAAATACCTGTGCGCAGTTTTCTGTTGCTTGTCTTTCTGGTCACCAATTATTAGTTTTAAACAATGCACTTTATATTTCCTTTACAGAAATCAGGCATATGTGACATAATCCCTGGGATCCAGATTGATGACTATCTCTTTGATCCTTGTGGGTACTCAATGAATGGACTCATGCCTGGGGTAAGTTTTGAGCTACTGCTTTATTTTGTATTTAGTCTTTTTAAAATGGTGAGTGTTAAATCATTGACAGTTGAAAGGAATAATTGTATTTCAATATTATTTTCAGGGCTACTACATAACAATCCATGTTACACCAGAGCCACACTGCAGCTATGTCAGTTTTGAAAGCAATGTTCCCCAGGTAAACTAAAGTTTAGTTAATCACTGGTCTGTTCTTTTTAGTTATGCTTAATGAAATGTCTTGCAATTGTTTTTCTTTTTTTTAAAACCATCTCAAATGTTTTTTGTTTAGGAATCTTATCAGGGTCTGATTAGAAAGGTGCTGGATGTTTTCAAACCTGGGAAATTTTTGATGACTGTTTTTGCAAACAATGTAAGTTGACCTGTTACTTATGTAACTTATTTGTAAACTATTCATTGTAAACCATTCATTATATTTTTTAAGCTCAAATTGACTTTTTAACAAACATTGCAGACTTAATAGTTATATTATCTTAGCTTATGTTAAAAGCCATTTAATTTTTAATTACATGTGTTGTTTTCCAGGCATCGATTGCTAAAGATACCCACAAACATATGGAAAAACTGGAGAGAATTGAAGGATATGTCAGGAGTGATCATCAGTTCTGCAGCCTGAAGAACTACTACCTGACTTACACCCAGTTCTCCCGTCCCGTTATTTAGGAGACCGTGTGCAGGGGCCTTATTTGGGTGCGTCGTCATAACCAACAGCGTTTGAGGAGGGGGCGGCTAGAGGGAATGGCTCAGTCTTGTAGCCATAAAGATGTCCCCTCTCAGCTGAAGACGCACTTGAGGCCTGCCTGCACACCATGTGTGATGCTAGTTAGCAATGTCAAGTCTAGATTTTCTTACTCTCATTTCTACTTCAGTCGGTGTTTTTCCTATTTCTCACGTGTGTGTCCTCGCTTTGTTTTTCGTTTTTGTTTGCGCTGTCAGATTTTTGTGTGGCGTTCTCGCAAGGGGAGAAAGAAGCTGAGTGTCAGGAAGGGGTACATTGTACGCAAGCCTAAATAGTATTTTTTGTGGTGGCCATTCTGAATGGTGTTTTAAAATCTTTGTCGAAAACCCACATTCGACCTAAAAAATACAGAGCATTCAGTTGTGTGGAGCCAGGTTCATTCAAAGCTGTATTGGACATAATTATGTCAAGAAATGTTGCAGCAAGAGGTTCAATAGATACGCCTACTTGAAGGCATGGTACATATCAGTTATCTCAGTTGATGAGATTTTGTTCTAGAGATAAGAGGTTGTCGCTTGTGTTTTTTTTTAACTTGTGTTTTTTTTTAAATATTTTTTTTTTTTCTGGTAGCACAGTAATTTTTTATAGAAAAGAAATTCAGGACATTACCATAATTGTTTGGGATGTTAACCCTTCACAGACAATTGCAGCCTGTAGATTTATTATACTATTAGGCAAATTAAGTTATGTTATTTTTTATACTGTGGCTGTTAATTGATAAGAACTTTCAGGTTTCTTAAGTTAAAGGAAGGTCATTTCATGGTCAATTTCAAGATCACTTTTTGTGCACTCTTGTTTTTCAGCTATTGATAATGTTTAATGGTCTGCTAAATTACAAATTATATAGTTCATTAAGTTTTTAATACTTTGTTTTTTGGATCGTAATCAGATCCCCCCTTATAGGCCTATTCATGGAATTTTGAAATGTCATTTTCGCCTGAAAAATTAAAAAATTTTCATTCCTTAAGTCTGTTCAAGTAATGACCAGATCTAGACAAATTTAAGGAAATGATACTTTATCAGTGAACTATCGATAAAAACCTTTTTTCCCCCCCATCTCGTCTACTCAAGGTTTTTTCACTAAATTTTCAATTCATTTCCTATTTGAATTGTTCATACTTCCTATTTTCATAGTTTGCTGTATTTCTGCATATCCATCCTGTTTCTCTTGCTCACTGAGAAAATTGTTCAGTTGAGCATAATTAAGGAGGATTATGCTAGCTTGCTTTTGTTACCATTGAGCTGTTATTTATTTAGGTGGTGGGGGGGGGGGGGTGTAGAAAATGACATTTTAAGACTCATATATAATTCACTTAAATGGTACCACCTTTCCTTTGGCATATGGGGGGGGGGGGTGTTGGCTTTTTTCCATGCCATCATGTTTTTAAATTTTTATTTCTTTCTACTGCTAATTTGATTCCCCTAGGTGCAGAAACCCCTGTTCAGTTGTATTATATCATTTTCCCTCATCTACTTGATTGTGCTGTTTATGTTTAGATTTTTTAAGATTTGACTGTAAGGGGTTATAGTAAGTGTTAGTTTCTTTACTTTTTACATCAGAACCCTTGTTTATTTTTTATGTCCAGGCTTGTACATTTTTTAAAATGAGTTTTGAAATACAAGTGAAGTAAAATCATCACTGCTGTGACTGCTGATGAAGTTAAAAATTCATTTTACAAGATCAGTCATTGCAGTACTGATTTTGGCAACATTTATTGACATTTGTCCATCTTTGGCTTGTTATTACACTGACCCTCCTGACCGATGAATCCCTTGGGTGGATCAAGGGCCCCGACCTCGTGTTCAACACCAGGTTACATGTTGTGTACCAGTTATCATTAGCTGTCTCTGTCATTATGCCAACAGAATTGTATCTAAACAATTGGTTTGAGTTCTCTTTGGCATGGATATACCTATGAGTAAAGCTAATGATCTGGTCTATTGTTTTACGCATTTGAGAAAAAAAGTCATCCTATATGGATGTTACTACCTAAGTGATAGTGTGCTGTCACACTTGACACATCTGAGGTTAGCAATTTTGCTTTGGTGATGGTTCTTTTATTGTGTTTATATAAGTTGCTAAGACACCAAGGTGTGCAATGATATAGAAGGTTGTATTGTTAGTTTGCTCTTTTGGCATTTTCCATAATCTGGTCTGGATTTTATCTCTTGTTGACTGGCAAAATCTTTGGTCTTCTACACCTTATTTGGTCAAGTCAACTTATAAATATTGAGACTAATTGAGATAGTACTTAGGATCTGATGCTGGCATTTTAAAAATAAAAATAGTTTCAAAGTACAGTGGCATGGAGTCTTGTACATTATTATAATTTACTGTATCTGGCATTAAACATATTTGCGTCTAAAAAGTTGTTTGAATGTGTTGTGAGAACATTTCTTTAACCACCAGCTAGTTTAATTACACCCATTTATCTGCTATGGTGCCACTAATAAAGATTTTGCTTGCTTTATCATGGTTTTCATTTTTTTTTTAAAGAAACTGCTTGTTTTGTGTTACATATTTATTACATCAATAAGATGTCATAAAAACAAATTACAAAATATTCATAAGACATAAGTGGTCTGCTAATAATAATCACAATTTTTTAAATAAGTTAAATAAGACAACTTTTCAAGAAGCCTGCCTTTGGGCTAAAAAGTAAAAAACATCACTTAATTAAGTCTCCAGCATGTGCACAGGTATCAACTTTATTCAGGTAGCAGGTCTTCACCCAATTTCTCATCACCAAAATCATCCTCATGAGGCCCCTTTCTACGAGCTGCAGTCTTTGGTCTTTCTGCTTGAGGACCAAGTGGGTCAGAGTAAGTTGTATCTGTGGGGGGAAAAATATGGTTGGGAAGTCTCCATTCAATACAGAACTGGATTTGTGCTGCACGTATGTGTAATGTTTGTGTTGCTATTGATCCAGTTTGTGTAGGTTTACAGTAACCCAAATCTTAAATTTAATTATTTTAATAAGTCAAACTGGCTACCTAAGGCAAACCTAGTAAGATAACTGCTGAAGTGACACATGCATGTGTACGTTAACACTTTAAAAACATTTTTCTTCCAAACAGATCTACTAGCAGTCAATTAAGTCATTAATTAGAGATGACCATTAACACTTACCTATTTCCTGTGGCTGACTTGTGTATGGGCTCCTGTCATTATCATCCAGCTTTGGTCTCATTCTCTGTTTCTTTGATCCCCGGCTTTGCTGTCCCGCACTACCTTCTCTGTCTAAATCTGTGTACAAGTTTTAAGTTGTTTGAAAAAATGCCATCTTCCTATTATAACTTGGGCCTATCTACAACTGTAAGCATTTATATAGTAAGAGGTCTGACATGGGAAAATACTGGATTTTTTGGCTTGATGCAAAGCAAAAGTTACTAATACTCACAGCTATCATTATTTTAAACTTTAAGAAAAATAGACCATGTTTTTTGACAGTTTTATAATTTCAATTAACCAAAGGATTTCTTTAAAAAATTTCTGGACTGAAGTGGTGTATTAACTTAGTTCATACTAAATTTAAATCACTGGTACCAATATTGAAGTGTAATGGGAGGTGTGCACTTTTTTTTTATTTTTAAAATTAGCATTTAATGATAAAAAAAAAGAAGTTCCACTAAAAAGTAAGAAATAAGAAAAACAAACAAATAGCAACAGTTAATGCATAAAAAAAATCTATGGATCTGCAAAAATTGAATAAGTTGCTAGTGTTTTGAACTAAGCATGCAAAAGAAACACTCTTATTAGATTCATTAAAGTCTGGTTTTGATAAATAAAAATACTATATTTTTTACAATGTTCACAATCTCTTGATAAAATCAAATGACTAGATCAGCAAAAAAAAAGACCCCACATTTTTCAGTGATTAAATCCTACATACTATTTGAATTTAAATCTTACTGAATGGAAGAAGCAATATTTTAAAATGGAAAAGACCCAGCTTTCAAATAATACCAAATGTGTTTAATTAGGGCAATTAAGGGTAAGTAAAGTATAATTATAATAACATTGGTTTAACGGGCCTGAAAAGATGCTTTAACACATTAATTTAGGAAAATGTACTTATTCTTCCATTACAGAAAGGCATCACACATTTAGAAATACTAAATTCTAACTACTGTGAAGTTGACTTTTGACCTTTTCTCCGGCTCATTTCTCCTTTAAATCCATCTATGACAAAGAATAAAACTACAATTTCAATACCAGTATCAGCGTTACTGGTAAAAAAATCGTTAAAGTGGATAATTGTTTCATGTTCTGGTGTAATATTTTTTAATGGAATGTGACCACAAGTTGAATGTTTTCTCTCACCACTTCCTGCACTGCTCTCTCTCCTGGCCCGCCCACTTCCTCGCCTACCAGCACTGGTTGTTCTCTGAAAGAATACAATAGAGTATACAGTATTAAATGTCTTTTAAATCTGTTGTCAATGAGTTACCTACTACTAATATCATGAAGCACACTAAAAAGGTTGTTATTACACTTGGGAAAGTTACCACTGAAGCAATTATGACAACAGCCAGAAAAAAATTATTATTTGAAAATTGTAATGTGTCTAGAATAAATTATGTAAAAATGATAATATGACTAGAATAAATTAAGTAAAAATGATAATATTACTTGAACAAATTATGTGAAGATGTTAACACGACTAGAATAAATTACATGTAAACAATAACAAGACCAGAATCAATTATTACTTGTTCCCTGAGTTCTTTATTTTTCTCAGCCTTTTTTAATTTGGTGGCGAATTCTTGTGCCTCATTCATTCCAAGGTCTGTACACAGCCGCACTAAAAACTTCAAACCTGGAAGTTGAAACAACAAACAATATGAGATTTTATTAAGAGTTTAGGCTGATCTAAGCGGGTTATTTTAATTAATTATGAGAAATCATTGTAATTAAGACCACTGCACTCACATTCTACATTATCTGGAAACTTTCTGTGGATTTGCTTGTATGTCTCCAGTGCTTTTTGGTAGTTGCCACTGCGACGATAGCAGCTGGCAATCATCAGGTGCCATTTCACTTGGTTGGGTCTGAAGACAAAGTAAATGACTTATGTCAGATTTGTGACAATGACAGTAGCTTACAGTGTGATGTGTGAATACTGGACCAGTATGTTTGTTACTGGACAGGTGAGATGGTAGTTTAATGGAGTAATGTTACATAGCTTAAGGTCTAACATGGTGGTAAATGGACTAGTGTATAGCTTCAGGGCTAATGTGATGGTATATCATTGGAGGACTTTTTTGCTGGTTGGAGGACATTCTAACATGATGGTAATTAATAGACTACTGGCAGTCATGATTAAGTAAATGGATGAGTGGGTAGTTTACTAGTTTGATGATATATCATTGGAGGACTTCTGCTGTAGATGATTGGAGGGTTTGCTGAAGATCCATTATAATGTTAACTTACTGTACAAGAGATGCTCTCTCAAAGTAATGTATAGCTTTCTCACAGAACTGAGAGTCAATGTAGTAGGCACCAAGCCATTCAATCACAGGGATGTTGGAAGGAAAATGGCGGTAGGACTGAAATGTAAATTTTTAAATTTTACACTCTGAACTGACTCAAAAGGTTTTCCTTTTAACACCTTTGCAGCACATAAGTGACTATGTCTTATAGCACAATTCTAATAATGTAAAAAGAAAGGTGTAATTATAGCATTCTACTTTGATTACTCCAGCTCAATTACAATGTGTTAAAATAATGTACTGCGGCTTAAAAAAACACATTAAACAAAAGTCAGGATATAAAAAATTATTATGAAGATGATAGTTTCACTTTAAAAAATTTAAATGGCAGATAAAGTACATTAGTTGAAAACCACATTAACAGAAGATTACATTCTTGATTTTCTACTGAAATAAATGCAGTGGGATAGATATAATTGGAGAAAAAATTAGCAAAATAAAATGCGATTAATTTTTTTCATGTAGTCAACATCTTTTCCTTTTTGTGCCCAAGACACATGGGTCCAGAGTAGTGGAATGTTAGAGCATACTACTGCTAACCCGAGATGTCTCGAGTTCGTATCTGGTTCAAGCCAGTGGAGTGTCACAGAGTCACCCAACTCTGATGGGTACCTAACTCACGTTAGGGAAAGTAAAGGCGGCTGGGTATAGTGCTGACCATACCATCCCTTCATATGCTGAGGTCACAAAAACTAGTGAACTCAACTTCACTTGTCCAATGAACCATCAGGTTGGAAGGGGAACTTTACTTTGATGTAGTGCAGTAGTGCAGCACCATAAACATTTGCCACAATGAAAAGGTTAAACAAAGCATAGTTCTGTTATTGTTTTGACTGGGAACCTACATCAAAATAGTACTGAAAAGCCAATGACTTGTCTCCCTCATTATCATGCAGTTCTCCCATTCTTGCTAGAACACTAGGATCAGAGCTGACCACACCAATCAGTTGCATGAACCTAGTGAAGAAAATATTTCTTTAGTTTAAGTACAACAACTGTAACAAAAATATATTTTAAACTCAATGAATCTGTGAGTTTTGTGGTGTAGTTTAACTATCTATAATAAAAATGTTTATAAATGGACAGAGTCAATAAGGCTTGTAGCATATTACCATTCTGTAGCTTGAGCAGTGTCTTCTAGCTGTTCATATCTTTACGGTTGTTAAGGTTAGTATACATACTCTCAATCAGAATTTGTAAGAAAAAAGCAAGTTAGAAATAAATTTATATTCAAGATTGGTATATTCGGGTCCATAAAACTCATGGTTACAAAGCTGAGAAGTCCTGAGTTTAACCCCCAGGGAAGATGAGGCTCAATAGCTGGGGGGCAGCAACCCATATAGGGGAGAAAACCCCAAAATCAAACAACCCCCGCTTTGTAGTATTGTAGTTCATTCTTGGTTAGACAAAAGCTATAGATGCAAATCCAAAAAGAAAAGCAGGCTGGGATCGCAGTCAACAGCCTGTATGGCACATAACAGGTTAACACATAATTATTAATTGAGTTGGAGAAAATCCTATCCTATATTATAATTATGAACGAAGAAAAAAAACTCAAAACCTCGTTTATTTAGTAATCTCAGGTGTGAAGTATCTGAATTAGTTTTTAATAATTAATGAAATATCTAATTTAGTCAACATGTATAAATTGCTGTTGTTAAGTTTGTGAGGATTCAAATGCACATTAAGTCTGGTTGAAATGGGAGAAAGTTAGCTGTCAGGATACCGGTACTATCATAAAAGACACGTCTAATTGAATAAAACTTTTGCTGGGCCAAGGATACGTGTCAGCTATTTGATACATGACTTGTGGACTGTTTCTCAGTATAGCATGGAGTTTGTAGAAGCAATCAATGCCTTCTTCCAGCCGACTCAGGCGTTTATTGCACAAACCTGACCAACAGAGTCAATGTTTAATTAGTTGCATGCAGCAAATAGTACATGGTAAAAGGCAACCTACTAATGTAAGCAAGCAGTGGTCAAGTGGGTAGGGACAATGCTGTGAGATGACAATTTTGAACAGGCAATGATGTGAGGAGTTGGCAATTATGGACATAAAATAAAGAGATGTGTACAAAGTTTACCTAGATTGTACAAAGCCTCTATACAAGATGAGTCATTGGTCAGTGCTTCTTTAAAAAACTCTCGAGCTTTTTCATAATCATGTTTGGCATATAGCACATTTCCTTTGTTAACCAGAGCTGAAAAATATATGTATGATTTTTTAAACCAATGGCAATGTGTTCATATTTTCAATTTTCTAGCTTTTGTCAGCAGGACTGTAAACAGTTTTTGTTACCTGCAGGGTTGTATCTGTCTGCTGTCATGGCAATTTCAGCATATTTGTCTGCTTGTGCATAGTCTGCTTCCTGTTGAAATAAACAGATTCAGAAGTCAGTTCTAGGACTGATAACCAGATCTAAAAAAAAAGCTTGATTTTTTTTTAAGATGGTATTTTATCACAGGTCTATTGTTAATTTAAAAAATGGTAAGTACTTTTAGGTAAATAAAAGGAAACAAATGTTGTATCTTACTTAGTTAACAACAAAACCTTACCAGAAAATAGAGGAAAGACAAATTAGTTGCTGCTGTACTGGCCACTTTTGAATCTTTTTTCTCAAAAGATTTAAGAGTTTCAATAGCCTGTTCAAATAAATTTTAAAAATCTCATGGAATAAATGTTAAATTATTTAGGTAACTTGTCAATCAACTTTGGTACCACATAATTAATTATCTAGATTTGGCATATCTTTGATTAACACTGATCATGTATTAATTGCAAGTGATTAAGATCTTAAATGGTTAAAAAAACATTAGACATACATAGCTTAATATATACATTAAATCATTAGTACAGAATGTAAAAATACATTTTAAAAATACATAAGGCAAGTGTTAAGTCATTTGAGGAATTAAAATCAATATTGTGGATATTCTGCTGGTAATTCCTACAATTTCACTTACCTGTTGAAAATTCTTCTGCTTGAGAAACATGATAGCCTTGTCAATCTCAAGGTCATGTGCAAGGTCAATGTACTGTGAATTTTTTACCATCTCAATGCACCTACACATTTTACAAAGACTTTGTTAGAACAAAGTTTAGGTAATTTCTTTAGAAAATATTTTTTTATCACTCTATTGCCAAAAAAATATTGAGTTTTGTTGTAACAAAGATTATATTGACTTTTAATGAAATAAAAATTTATACTTACTTCATTGCATGCACACAAAATTTTAAAAAGACTTCTTGGAATACAATTTAATTATGTAATTCAAGTTACACGTTTAAAACAGAGTGATGAGAAATGTGAATATGTAAAACAAAACAAATCTTGTAAGCTCAGATAAGTAGAAAAGTTCCTTACCAGTCATAGCCATCAGAGAAAGAGGATTCTATTGCAGGTGAGATGATCTTAGCAGCATATTTGATGCATCTTTCAGCTTCATATTTTCTGTTAAATTCAAATTGCATTAAACCAGTATGCAAAAAAGTGTGTTTCTCAATATTTGTAAAGAATGTTAGTTAAAACAACCTATTTTCTGTGTTTAAATTATGTTTTATATACAGTAAATGCATTTGCAATATTCAACAGTTTATAATAAAAAAAATTTTTGGTGCACAAGCCATAAATTAATACTTATAAAACTAAATATTACTGAATCAAACAATGATTATTTAAATTTTTTAAGATTTTCAAAAAAATGTGTTCATAAATTATTTTTCAAAAGTAAAATGTTGAGAGGTCTATTACAAAAAAAAAACTGACTTAAATATGCATGAAAAACATCATTTTCTTACCTTTCTCTCTCAATCTGCCTGAGTGAATCATTCTTTATCACCTCCAGGACAAGGTTGTATTGTTTGTCTTCCTGATGACAACAAAACAAACATCAGTCATTTTGTTGCTTACATGTTAGAAATCTTCATGATTAACAGGAGATCAGAACATGTGGCAACCTTCAGCATAATATAAATACATGCCACCTTTTGAGAGACTTCAGAATTTGAAAAAAATGCATGAGTTTCTAACAAATAAAAACAAATAGACATTTTGTAGATTTTTTTTCTAGGGGAGGTCACTCTACCCATTGAATTTGGAGAATGGTAAGCCCTAGTTTATTTTTATAACATTGTGTGATATTTCCTCAACTCTAATTATATATAAAATTGAATTTCAATCGTTTTTGTATTGTTTAAATTATATTCCTGTCTAAATACTTATATAAACTTAGGAATTCCATGTTCAACTAGAGCCTGCTGAACTCTAATGTATCATGAAAACAGATCTAGACACCAATGTGAGCCACTGCAGGAGGGATGAGACTTACACCATGCGACAGGTATTTGTCCTCATCATCTATCTTCAAGTCTACAGTCAACAGCTTGGCGAAACCATCCCTCATCTTTTCTCTGTCCCCCAGGGCGAAGTAACACAAGATGAGATTAAATCCAGTCTTAAAGCTGGGAGACTCTGACATGATGTGCTCAAAGGATGTGATGGCATCACTGTACTGACCCATCTTCACAAAGGTTATACCAATATTCTGCATTATTTTGGTTCTGGGTGGATAAAAAAATGCTTACATTGTTTTGGTAGTATACCTTTTTATACAAACAGAATATGAGGTTAAAAGCCTCTAAAAATAAATTTTCAAGTTTTGACTCTATGTGATGATGGCTACTTCTTAGTTATTACATCAATACATATTGAGACAACAAGAATTCTACCATTAAATGGTTATTTTTTAGAATTCCTAACTATTAAAAATTCTGTTTTCTTAGAATAAATTTTGTTATTCCTATTCTATTTGTACTCCACACTTCTACCTTATAAAATCTGAACAAATGTTGTGTTGTTATTAATAAACTTTGTATACAAAAGACATGGCAGCACTACATGTAATGTACACATCAAAGATGCTATTTTTACCTCATCTCCTTGTGTGTGTTGGGCACCTGATCTAGGGCCATCCTGTAAAACTTGACAGCCTTGGGGAAATTTCTTTGTTTAAAATAAATGTTTCCCATGTTTACTTTTAAACGACCTAAAAAAAAAGAAATTTCCTGTAAACAGAGACAACATCTCTAAATAAATGCGTCTAAATTAAAAGAAAACTTTCCAACCTGCGTTGCTGAACATTCTATTTTTTACAATGACTTGGTATGTGTTGATGGCTTCATGGTACATCTCATTAGCCACATACTGATTGGCTAAGTTGAAGAGAACCTATCAGGAATGTCAAATATTCATTTTAAAAACATGTTTTGTTGCTATCAGTAGTTCTTAACTTTATAGACATAACATAAAATGATGAGGATCTTACAGAATAAGTCAAGTCCAGGTTGATCTGGTCTCCTTTGGTCAGCTGTTCTCTTTGTCTCACCAAAACTCTTTCCTTCCTACCAGCTTCCTTAGCTTTGTCCAGCGCCTGAAGAAAGAAGTCATATACAGGAATGTTCATAGTTTTACTCAATATCACATTCAATAATCTTAGGAAATAAAACACTGCACAGTTCTTAACCAAGGTTGAGAATATTAAAATATTAAAAGAAGTATTATATTTAAAGCTTTTATTAAAAAGACTTAATATAGACCTGTATGCAAGTTCAGGTCTTAAAACTAGTGTTCATGTAAAAAGCTAGGATTGAAAGACTTTACTCAGCTAAACCATGGTTTGGCTATAGGAAGATTAAACAGTCCTTACCAGTTGAAATTCAGCTCTACTGTTGGCTAGACAACTCTCTTCAATAAGTTCATTGACTTTTTTTTCTAGCTGTCGAATTTTTTCTTCAGGACTGGATATCCATGAGGAGAAAACAAACACTACACATTACTCTGAGATTCAATGTGTTACTAAGTTTACAGGAGTGTGAGATATGGTATTGTTAGGTGGAAGTACATAGCCTAACTCTTGACTGACCTGTCTTCTGCTTTTGGTTCCAGAGGAGGTGCAGGACCTCGACCAGCTTGATTGAATGGATCAAAGCCAACCCCAGCTATGTAAGGAAAACAAACCATATGTTATTATAAAGTATACACAACATTTCTATACAGCAGCATTGAATTATAATGGAATGATTAACATTCAACCAGCATCGACAAGCTGCAGTTGTAGCAATTTTTCATCTGACCCCAAAGCCCAGACTTTTTGAAACATAAGCTAACAAGAAAAAGGCGTTTTTTATGTTTATTTCTTTATCTTAATACTAACTCTAGCCTTAATATTAATCTTCACGTAAACTCTCATCCTAAAAACAATATCAGGAGAGAAAAAAATTAATATAATACTGATGTCATATGAAATAAGCAACCAAACCTCTGTTTCCAGCAGAAGTAAAGCCAGCTGCTCTGACAGCAGTCATTGGTCTTGCCTGTCCATCCTGCACTGCCATACCACCTGTTCGACCCATGGATGAGGGCATGGCAAGACGTCCTTTGGCAGCAGTTGCCAATCTACCTGAGGCGGCAGTGAAACCTACTTTAGCCTGTGTCTAAAATAAAAGCAAACAAAATCTTTAAGCAAAAACTAATAATACAAGTTGGTAAAAGATTATATTATTTATTTTTAAAAATATTTTCAAAGAATACTTTTATACATTACTAGGTCTAAAATAACAATACAACTCTATCATGCTTAATTGGTTGCTTTCATGGCTGCTTAGAATTTATGTTATACTTTTAAAATCTACACAATCAATGCAACTCACCACTGGGCGTCGTCCATGACTCGTCCTTAAAACAGCTTTCTGGAAATTTTCATCTTGAACAAGCTCCTATAGAAGAAGGAAAGATAGTAAACAATTTATAAAATCAAGCAATCCTACATAGCATTTTTTTTTAAAATTAGCAAGTAATTTAATACATTAGCATGATAGTCTACTAGATTCTAGTTACTAGTTGTATATTTTATACAACTAGAATTTAAAGACCCTAGAGTAACTGTCTAAGACTATAGTCTAAGACCTAAGAATACTTAAGAATAGGGAGTAAAATTATGTTTTTAATTTTAATAATAATATATTTAAAATAATACTTTAATACAATTATGACAAGTTAACTTACATCTGTGTCCAACATTGCATTGTAATCATTGAATCCTGAATAGTCGTCATCTTCGTCATAATCCATTTTGATCTTTTTCTACTCTGAGTAGTCTAGCAGCTAGAGTCTGGATTGGATTTTTAAATTAAAAAAAAACCTTTTTTCAACTTGAACTTTCTGTTTCATTAAAAATTAAAAGTTTTAACAATTTTTACTAACTTATTACATTACAAGTTATCAGTATAAGATTTATGTACGACATTCTACGTTATAGTTATATAGTATAAAATGTCATAGACTAGTAACTTATTAATAGGCTAGATTCTATTTAACTTAATGAGGGTGATATAGATCTACCTGGACATTTAATTTTGAACAATAAAGTACTACTGAGGAATTTTTCAACATCCGGTCTTTAGTACTCATGCGCAGCAAACTATCGTTGCCGTTACTAGGAATTCTTTTTAAAATGAAAATACAAAAAACCCATATAAATAATCAAATGCTTTTATCGCGTTTTAAAGAATATCAAATGAGTGGGCCTAATAAAATAAAAACGATGAAGGAAACACTGTGCGTTACTAGTCTCTATATTTAAAATAAAATCCAATCCAATCGAACACAAAAGTATTAGGCCACTAAATATTTCCAAAATCTCGTAAGAAATGTCCTCAGGGGTCGTCCATAAATAAATGATGTCACACTTAACTACACAGGGAGCAGGGAACTTTGCTTTTAGTGATGTTTTGTGACGTCACATTTTCGCATTTTAAAATTTAATTATAGCACTAATTTCACACATTTTCAAAGACTTTTATAAATTGTTATATTGAAAAATGTCCAATGTATCTAAAATTGACCCGGCTCAGAAAGAAATATATCTGGTCAAAAGACCAAAACTTGTGTTAAGGGAGGGGGGGGGGGGGGGGGTGGAAGGCTAAAGTGGGACGCTTTGTATGGTGTGGGGTAGAGGTGTGACTTTCAGTGACGATGCGACAATGGGGAGAGATGGGAAGTAAAACCCTCTAAAAAACTTGACTTTATATTTAATCTTTACATAATCTGCACTTATCAAACCTGAGAGTAGCCTGCGTATAATTAGGGTAATGATATCTCTTTAATGATTAATTGAAGTTAATTTCAATTAATTTAATTTATGATTTGGGTTAGTAATATACTTATTAAGGGATAGTGTATATATAACACGAAATAAGACTTTTGTACCACCTCACACCTTTCCAATTCCATACGTTACTATCATCCTACATATTAGAGCAAATTTTTAGCGTCCACATTGCAGTGTCCCTGCAGGTAAGGCTCAATACTGGGCACAGCAACTCATCTAGGGGATACAGCTCTAACAACTGCTGCCATAAAGATTGTTGTCTTGTAGCATGTTATTGGGCGGACAACGGCTGTGGATTAGTGATATCGAACTCAGAAGAAAAGCAGGCTGAAACAAGAGTCAAGTCATATGGCACATAACATATTGACAAGCAATTCTTAATTGTGTTGGAGGAAGTTCCTTCCAACACTAAAATTAAGATCGAAGAAGAAGAAAATTCTATTTTTTGCTTTTGTGTAACACCACTTTACGTTTTTTTCCTTTATACTTTCTCTTTTAACGGTATTTTTCTCAGTCATCATTTTGCAACAACGGATAAGTCTATTTATAGCCCTAGTTCCCTAGTAGATACAGCCATTTTGGTACACTGTAGGATGGTCATGTGACTGATTGGGTCCTGCAGCCTGTGATGTGTTCTTGTCATTTCTGACAGCCGACGTAATGACGGTCTGTTAAAAATAAACCCCAGTAGATGGCGCGCCTGTTTGTGCAGTTCGCAACTAAATATAGGCTTATTGTTTCCAGTCCAGTTTTATAACGTGTATGCCCAACGATACAGAAATCATACAAACGTTTTAGTTTTATGTTTATAAATTGTGACGTCACTCGCATCCCGATATTTTAAAAATCATACCCACAATCAGTGGCGTAGCGAGGTCGGGTGTCACCCGGTGAGGCACTTAATGGTGTCACCCCCCCCCCCCGAGGCATAGAGACCCTTCCCAGGGACAAACTTTCAAATTTTCGATTTGCACCCCCCCCTCAAACTTTCGATTTGCACCCCCCCCCCCCCCTGAAGTTTTCGATTTGCACCCCCCCCCCCTCAAACTTTCGATTTGCACCCCCCCCTCGAGTTTTTCTCTATATATTTTGCTATTTTTTGCCTTGGTGTCACCCCCCTAAATGGTGTCACCCGGTGCGGTCCGCCCCCTCGCCCCCCCCCCCTCGCTACGCCCCTGCCCACAATCCCATCGTCACAAAGACCCCTTAAAAGTAGCTATTTTCTTTTTTTTTTTTTTTTTTTGAAAAAAAAAAAAAAGCAATTTTAGACATTTTTCCCGAAAAAGGAAGCATTTGAAATTTGAAATTTCCAAGAGATGTCTGAAAGAAACTCCCCCCGAAAGTTTCAAGTTCGGATCGCGGGATCGAGTCCGTAATACGCCCATTGGTCCACCCAGTTCTGTTTTGTACAGGGGCGGAACTACAGTGCCGCCAGACCCCGCAATGCGGGGGGGGGGGGGCGCCATTTAGGGGCCCACGGCCGACCCTAACAGTTTTTATTATAGTTTAAAAAATCTAATTTTCTTGCAATTTTTGACTTGATGTTTGTTTTGTAAACGATTACCATAGCTGCGGTTTGATTATCTTTATTCTATAGACACCATCCCCACGCCCTTGTATATTCTTTTTCCCTTTCTTTTTGAACCACTGTGAAAGCCAAATCCTCTCTCGTCTACAATTAAATTTAACAAAGATAAGCAAACGTTCAAACCACTTCCATGACTTATTTCCCTTTTTAAATAGTCTAATTTGGATGCCCATAAGCTCCTTTTAATAGATTTGTACTAAACAAATTAAAAAGCAATTACTTCTCTTACTAAATATTTTTTCATAAAGTACATACTAAAGAATGACCTTGTATAAAAAGGAAATGTATTTAAAATTAATAATATAAGTACGAAAAAACATAAAAATAATCATAACACGAGACACCATTACTTCTACAAAAATGTCATGTTTTATATTCTTTTGGCCAGATAGATGTTAAGAGAACCCATAGATAAAATGAAACTAATTTGTTCAAAACACACTAATGCACTTACACACATGACATGATGTTGCAATTTGTTTTAATGAAAAAAAAACAATTTTTTTTCAAAACCCAAACAGGCCAGCAATGAGTATCCTATGCTCTGTTCGTATTTTGTGTTTGTATATATATATAGGCCTATATATATGGGTGGGGGGCCTAAAAAATTTTTTTTGCGGGGTGGTCATTTTTTTTCTAGTTCAGCCACTGGTTTTGTACCTGACTCAAGTTCATAAATCATAGCCACTTTATTTTTTTTTAATATAAAAGATCAAAAACGAAAGTATATAACCCTCATCCATTCCGTGTCTCAATATTAATCTCGAAGACAATGTTGCTAAATAGTTACACTTGGTGTGTAGAGTTTACAGCGGAAACGGTCATTTGACTGAACAAAGAACGAATAAAATAAGGTGACATAAAAAAAAAAACAAAGCAGTTGGCAGGACAAGAAAAAAAAATGACCGCCGTAACGCACGCGTAGGAAAAATTTGGACACCTTGCCAAAAAAAAAAAAAGAACCCAGAATAGAACGAAGTGGAGACTGAAGTTTCAGGGGGGGGGATACAATGGTAGGTTAAACAGCCAATACAATTGACGTTTGAGAAGTGGGCGTGTCTGATTGATGTCCCCTTTGAGTCAGACGGTGTGTCTTCACCAGAGGAGAATGTTGATTTAAACAAAACGGCTGTTTTTTTGGCTTGTCCTGTGAACAACATGCCCAGGCTGGCACTACTGGTTCTCCTGGCGTTGCTAGGCAACACGTTAGGTAAGTCTTACGGGTAAACTAAAAATTCAGTATAATCAAAATAAATATTGATTACAACATTTTGCAACCTCATCAGGTAAGTATTTTGATTGTCTTTCTGCATTGGCAACGTTTCGTGAGATCTGTGATCGAAAAATATTGATAGATTTCTTAAGAAACATTTTAAAAGTTCAAATCATTGAATATTAGTCTAGAAAATGTCGCTTATAATGACTTTTTACAAAATATCACTGTAAAATAATTAAACACTTATTAAAGAGTATATTTTTAATATTCTGAAGATTTTTTTGCTTGATTGATCCCATGTATTTCCAGGTTTTCTACACAAAAGTGCCTGTTTGATTGATCCCATGTATTTCCAGGTTTTCTACACAAAAGTGCCTGCTTAATTGATCCCATCTATTTCCAGGTTTTCTACACAAAAGTGCCTGCTTGATTGATCCCATCTCTCGCGGCCACACAGGAGAGTATGAGCATGACGACGAGGAGGAGAGGAGGGAGGAAATGTTCCCCTCCGGTCACCAGCACGCGGCCATGCCGGGCGGGAACGGGAGAGGAGGCCACGAGGAGGACGACGAAGAAGAAGAAAACCACGGGCGGGGTCATCCTGTGGCTCGGCCAGTCGCCCGGGTGCAGGGGAGGTCTGGGTACAGGGACGAGGACGGGGAGTGGGAGGACGCCAGGAGGAGGAGGCAGGCGTTGTCTGGCCACCGACCGGATCTATTGGTGGGGCAGATAGCGTGTCCTGGCCACACCATCCACCTGATCAATGTCGTGATTGGTTACTCTAACAGCCATCTTTGTATACAGGTAATTACTCACAGTCAATTGCACAGGTACAGGTTTTAAAACAGGTACATGGACATGCATTCACTGCTTCCATCAACTACAAATAAAAGCTTCCAGCATTCTAAGTAATAAAAAGAAACGACCACGAAAATAGCCATACAGATTTTTTTCCCTATCGTCTAGGTCAGGGTTCTCCAAACTATGGCCCGCGGGCCGGATGCGGCCCGCGATGTCCTCTCATCCGGCCCGCGGAGATCTTTTTGTCCACGGAAAAAAACGTTTGTTGGTGATGGCTGAAGAACTTTGCCCTGGAAAATCAAAGACATGTCTGGAACTAACTGGCCCCTGAACTGAAATTCGATAGTTAATGCGGCCCTCGGACTGAAAAGTTTGGAGACCCCTGGTCTAGGTCATCCTTTTGAAAAATCGAGATCCATCGTGTAGGTGAAGTAGAGTTCACCTGTTTTCTGTGACCTCAGCGGACTCAGGGACGCATTGAGATCAACACACTGAATATTTAGATTTCTTTTTTACAATAAGGTCAATTTTTTGACGTAATTTGACTGTCTAATCACATGTTGACTTTAACCACTGTTCTAGTCCAATTCTGATACCCCCCCCCCCCCTTCACCACTTGTTCTCTCCGCGTCCCCACAGGCGTACGAAGGCTGCCAGGCAGGGTCCCCTAAGGCCACCCAAGTTCTACATTGCCAGGGAGAGACGGGCACCTGCCAGGTTGCCATACGTAGAGTTGATATGCCAAAGTGTGGCCAAACTGTCAACTTCGCCGTGATCAACTACGAGTGTGTGCCAGGTAAGCAGGTCATCATGGTATTGCCAGGTTTAAAGTGTCTGCATGCCCTGTCCTTTCCTTACAGCAGAGACCCCCTCCCTTCCCCAGCTCCCCCTGAAAAAAGTCTACTGGAATTTATATAGAAAATATAAAAAAATTTTTTACCTGTCCCACCACCCCCCTCCACCCACGAAAAATTTAGTCCACCCCCCCCCCCCCCGGAGAAAGAAGTCTGAAAAAAAACCACTGTTTATGTGTTCGTCAATCCACCAGTATTGTCCCTCTCTAACTTTATATTGTATGCATTGTGAACCCATTCCAACCCACACGTTTTAAACTTTACCGATAGACAAACTCAATATTTTAACCTCATTCGCAAGCTAAGAAAAAAAAAATCAACTGTTTAAACAAGTTAGTTAAAAAGTCTAGTGACAATTTTAGCGCAATTTCCTTATGTTATCTAAAAATAGCTCTGTCGTAGCGTAAATCAAGAGCAGGGTTAGTAAAACCATTGGTTAGTTATTAAAACGTTTTTTATTAAAAAAAATTTCAGCATTTTACATGTTTTATTTACAATAGAGTTACATGACTAAAAACCATTGCGCGCCTAGCTACTGAACGTGATGACGCTGCCATTGAACGTGATGGCGCAGCTATTGAACGCGATGACGCGTGTGGTGTGGTTGGAAAAAATGCCTACTAATTCGGTCCAAATTTTAATTACTTCAAAATTTTTTTTGTGACCGAACGAAAGGATATTTTTGAAAACTTTCTTCGGCAATATTGTTCTAAATTATGGCAGGAATCGATTGGTACATGTTTTAAGTCGCTAAGTGGTCTGGTTGCCGAGATATGGACCAAAAACTGCTTTTTTTCGAGGTTTTTTGGCTTTTCTGGGAAATCCATGAAAGAAACCCGGAATTTTTATGGCATATGTTCATCCTCGTAACTTGCTTAACATAATTGCTTTTGGAACTAGTCATCGATATTGCTTCGTTGAGGAGGAGATACGACTTAAAGCTGCGGACACACATCCATCCATCCATTCATACATTCATACATCCAGAAATGACGGGTTAATAAACGCAATTCTCCAGAATGGAAATTGCGCTAAAAACTACTTCTTACATTTTAAAAATCTAAATTTCACTATTGTAATGGAAGTTGATTTTAAAAAATAAATTATACTTTCTAGCAAATAAAGTTTGTAGTGTTGTTTAAAGTAGATAATGAATATTTTTATTGTTAAATTATCCAATATTTTATTTAAAAAAAAAAACAACTCTAAAAATAGTTGTTCTCTGATCAAAGGGAAGTAACAATGATAATACAAAACCAACTTAATAAATAACAACTTCAGACTTAAATTTGAAACCAATAGAGGAGGATATTTCAAATTATTTTTATTTGATGTGTGTGTGTGTGTGTGTGTGTGTGTGTGTGTGTGTGGGTGGGTGGGTGGGTGCATGAGTGTGTGTTACGTATTTTGTGACGATATAGCACAACTAAAATTAAAATAAAATTTAGACACTAATCTCATCATTATATTCTAGTATGTGAGTATGTATGTGAATGGAGGAGGGTGGGTGTAATATGTGACGATACATAACTAACATAATAATATGGTGTATGTTTGGGGTGGGGGTGGTTGTTTACATTGCCAGTCGTCTTTTATAAAACGTCTTTGAATGTTTACCAAATGTTGTTTATAAAGAACCACGATGAAAAGTAAAATTTTCTTATATTTTAAAAAAAATTATTAATTAAACAGAAGCCAAAAGAGTCAACATTTGTGCCCCAGCAGACCGAGACGTCACCGATGGTGTTGTCATTACCTCCCCTGCTTACCCGCAACTTCCTGTCTCAACGTCTGCCGTCAGCGGAAGTGTGACGTCATGCGAATGTACACTACGCGCTGAAGCGGACTCACAAATTGTGATGGAATACCTCAGGTACTTTAAAATCACATTTTAATTGTATGGAAGGGCAGGAGTTTTATAAACACTACCCCCCTCCAGTTTCCCGGACCCCCCCCCCCCCCCCATGTAAGAAATAGAAAAATAATTTATATAGATGATGTGCTGTGTCCATCCCCTTGGAGAAAAATGCCTGAAAGAAACGCTGGACAGTGGATACTTCCAAAAATAGATGTGTTTCTTTGTTTCGGTTAAATTATCGTAAAAATTACATTTAGTGATAGAGACAAATTTAATATTGTGTTCCGATTTGGGTTAGGTATAGGGCTAGAGTTAGCATTAGCGCCATTGTTATAGTTAACTGCCAATACCCAACACCCTCTTCAGAAGGGAAGGTGCGGTCTGCACTTTGCCCAGCCGCCTTGAGTGTCCCTACCATGAGTTAGGTACCCATTACAGCTGGGTAGACTCAGGGACGTTCTACTGACTTAAGCCGGTGGCTAACTCCGGACATTTCAACCACGCCGTCCCACACTAACTAACAGCCATTATTTAAGAAAATTCCATTGTGACTGTACCGGACACTTTTAAAATCACACCGAGCACACTGCTAACCACTCTATGATGCACTCTATGGGAACCAGAGTTTCTTCCAGGCAAGAAGAAAGTCTACCGGAGAAAAAAGTCTGGAAGAAACACTGATGGGAACTAATAAAGGAACTCCTATTTTCAAATCAGACAAAAAAATGCCATACTCTCCCAAAGGTTGTACCAATTGTAAGCTTTGGTGTAGGGCAGTGTAGGCCTAATACACAGTGATGTTCAGGAGTCACATGCCATACTCTCCCAAAGGTTGTACAAATTGTAAGTTTTAGTGTACTACACAGTGATGTTCAATCTCCTGCAGGAGTCACCTGCCCGGGTCAGGGGTCACGTGTGACGGCGACATGCTCGTGCTGGAGCGACCCGATCCCAAGACCGCGGGTCGTTACGTCATGGAGCGCGAGATTTGCGGCCACAATGTCTCCAGTGACGTCATCATACATGACAGCATACTGCGCGTGACGTATCTGGGCGGGGCACCTTTGGTCGGGGACAAGTCAGGGTTCATTGCAAAGTTCAAAGGTCAGAGGGTACTTTTGAGTTGATTTGGGGTATTTTGTTCATCATCATTTTTTTTTCACCATCATCAGTGTTCATCTTTCCTTAACATTAACCAAAGGTAACATATATCATTTTTAAAATGTTAATTTGTTGTGACTAAAAATAAATACGATATAATTTTTATGCAATTATTTAGGTTTTGAATTTAAGACATCTTTATAACAAAAAAAAAATCCCGTATTGTTTTTTAAAATACAACAAAGCGTTGAGCAAGACAGGCGCCAACACCGTCTTCCATATTTCTTGTCAAGAGCCGCCGACAGTAGGAGCTAACTCTGGTAAAGTCTCGGTGAGAGTTGTCTTGCACTTTATTTTTGTCAGGTATTTTGACTTTTCTCTGGTTCTAGAATCAAATGACCATTCTGACACTTCTGACTGACAGTCGGCGTCACACCGACCTCTTTGTGCGATCCATTGACCTTGACCCTCACCTCAGTGACCTCTCCTAACATTGAACTCTTTGACCTCTCCTGACATTAAACTATGTGACCTCTCCTAACATTGAGCAAAGTGACGTCTTATAACATTGACCCCTATGACCTCTCCTGTCATTGACCTCTATGACCTCTGCTTACAATGACCCCTGTGACCTCTTCTGACAATGACCCATGTGACCCCTCCTGTCATTGACCTCTATGACCTCTCCTGACGTGACGTGTTTTAACCTCTGCAGGGTGCCCAAGCTAAAGCCATCTACCAGCAACAGGCAGGCAGGGGCGAGTCACCGCCTGCCGTCGCAGGTACTGACGCAGGGGATTCCGCAGGCACGTCACCAGGTAAGTCAAAAGTTATCAGTACATGGACCAATCACATCAATCGATTGTCTCGTCATACTTAAGTCAAATCAAAGAAAATTATATTGCACTTACAAGATGGTGGAAGAAAAGGCTAATTAATTTATTAAGATATCGTTTAAAATACTGACTCTACCAACTGACGTAAAGTATTGACTATACCAACTGACCTAAAGTATTGGCTCTACCAACTGACGTAAAGTATTGACTCTACCAACTGACCTAAAGTATTGGCTCTACCAACTGACCTAAAGTATTGGCTCTACCAACTGACCTAAAGTATTGGCTCTACCAACAGACCTAAAGTATTGGCTCTACCAACTGACCTAAAGTATTGACTCTACCAACTGACCTAAAGTATTGCCTCTACCAACTGACCTAAGACAACTTCTTACCTTCCAGGTATTCTCTCAGGTGTAGTGGCGTCTCTGGCCTCTGTGATTGTCATCATGGGCTCGGTGGGGGCGGCGCTACTGCACAGAAGGTGGGTGACGGGCCAGAGTTTCTTTCAGACATTTATTTCCGGGGGGGGGGGGAGGGCACACTTGAAATTTCAGGAAGAGTGGAAGGCATTGCCCCTCCCCCTCCCCCACGAAAGGTGTCTGAAAGAAACTTTGGTGGCGTTCTAACACATAGAAGACATAAAAGGGGGTTGGGGGGAAGGATACATAATGGATTACTTTGTAAAACATGAAAAGAAAACTCAAAGACGTTTTGGATTAGGGGGCGCTTTTAAAAAAATATTTCAAAGGCACCACATTTAGATTAATTTAAAACCCGAATCTAGAAAAGACTATAAAGGTCAACTAACAACAATACTAGTTTCGGTATCATCTGTTTCTATGACAACTAGAATTCAATAATTGAGATGTCAGAGAGTCAGAGGGAATATTTAAAAAATGGGGGAATATCGACGTGCATTATCCGTCTGAGTAGTGCAGTTAGATCAGTGTATGGATGTATTCACGGTTAAGTAAACCATTGACTTTTAATTCTCTGAACAAACCGTTTGATTTCTGATGCAGACGACAAAAGAAAAGGCGGGAACTCGAAGAACTGGAGAGGTACGGAACAGGAAGTCAGAACTGGTACGAGTATGGCGGATCTACCAAAAGTGACGCTCCGTATTATGGGTAAGCTGATATATTTAAAGTGACTTCCCTTAGTAAATGTAAGCTGGTAAATTTAAAGTGACTTTTTTGTAAGCTGATAAATTTAAAGTGCCTTAACTTAGTATATGTAAGCTGATAAATTTAAAGTGACTTCACTTAGTATATGTGAACTGATAAATTTGATCATACGAGTTGTGATTCGTGGAAACAAGTGTTGATGTTTCTCTTTTAACTAACAAAGCATAGACAATGTGCACAGCGTGGACAAAATGAGTGCATTGTGTACTTGTTGTCTTTTACTGCGTGTATACAGTGGGCATGTAGTGTGTACATTGTGTTACGTAAGTGTGTACACGCACCAAACATAAATACATGGTACATACTTATAATGCTCTTGGTGAGTGTATACACGATAAATTTATGCAACTAACTTCCTACACTCAGTCAAGCCAATTCTAAATGTATCCTCTACCAGAAATGACGCCAATGCCGCACACAGTGTCTACGGGCCTGCCCACAAGGAACCTTCTAGACTGGGGGCCCTGGTGCGATTTTTTACCGCTGGTAAATTAGAGCAGACGTCAAGGTCTCCGGGTGGCGCCAAAACGTGCAGCGTCTACTCCGTGCCACCATCTGACCGGAAGTTGACCGTGACGTCACCGCCCACGTGTAAGGGATGTTTTTCATTAGAATAGGCCATAAATAATAAAGTGTCTTAACAGTTTTAGTCAACGGCAGTTTCTTTCAGGCATCTCTAGAGGTTAGTGGTGGGAATCAATTATATAGACATTATGTACCTTAACCGGTGCCCATCGTCGGAAATTTTATTGCACACAGCGGAAGTTTCAAGTCCCCCCCCCCGGATGAAAATGTCTGAAAGAAACCCGACTCCACCCAGTCCTGATATCACTATCTGAGTCAATATCTACCGATATTGTGACACTGCGGAAGGAATTCTGAAAGAAATTCTGGGTATACCAAATACCCCTTGTATTTTAACTAAGTAGTGTTATAAACTCTATTCATACAGAATACTATATCAACTTCAAGGTATAATATAAATCATATACACCAATACACCTACTGTAATTGTCAAACGTTAACAAAATGGTTTGTGTACAAATGTAATGTACATGTTGAGATACTTGTTATATGTACGTAACTTGTGTGTTATTAGACTCTACAATTATTAAAAAATCAAATTTGTTCCAGCCACTCGGCCAGTGGCACGTCCACCAGCTCCACCACCCCCTCCACCCCCTGCCCAGCTGACGTCAGATGATCCACCCAAAGCTCCACCCAGGAAGAAGAAAAAGACGGACCACGGAGACGGCGACAGTGGTGTCTATGACAACAACACTAACACCGTGGGGGTCAGGGAAGCAGACGGCGAAAGTCTGCAGGAGTCACAGGGGGAGGAGTCACAGGGGGAGGAGTCACAGGGGGAGGAGTCACAAGAAGATGAGTACAGCACCATCTACGACGTCCTCACTGGGGTTTGATCTCACACAGAACGGAAGTTGTTTTAGCGCATCAATCTCATGCATGGAATCATGGGAAAGTGCGAGAGACTAGTGCTGAATGACGTCAATAAAAATACATCACATGTTACATTTAATGTTTTAACTTCAGTTAACACATCCCCAAAGTTCTCACTAAATTCCTAATATTCACCAACTATCCTGATTTTCCAAATAGATTACTCATTCACTACGGTGTAAAAATTGGGGAAAATGGGAAATGTATTGGGAATATAGATGATTTGTTGTAAAAAAAAATATGATTTTGTTGAGAATATCGATATTTATCGGGAAAAATGAGGAATTTGTTAAGAATATCGATAATTTGTTGTGAAAAATGAGTATTATATTGGGAAAATCGGGATAGTTGGTGAAAATTAGGAATTTAGTGAGAAATTTGGGGATTTGTTAAGAATGGGAACATCGTGAGTTTATTGGGAATATCGTGAGTTTATTGGGAATGTCGTGACTTTATTGGGAATATCGTGAGTTTATTGGGAATATCGTGACTTTATTGGGAATATCGTGAGTTTATTGGGAATATCGTGACTTTATTGGGAATATCGTGAGTTTATTGGGAATATCGTGAGTTTATTGGGAACATGGTGAAAATCAAGAATATGTTGGGAATATTGAGAATTTGTTGTATAAGTTGGCAGTAGCGTAGGGAGGGGGGGGGGGCGGGGGGGACATATGTCCCCGGACGCCGACCTTAGGGGGCGCCAAAATGGGTTGGAAAAATAAATTGAAAGGTTGAGGGGGGTGCAAATCGAAAGTTTGAGGGGGGGGTGCAAATGGAAATCTCGAGATGGGGGGGGGGGGTGAAAATCGAAAGTTTGAGGGGGGGGTGCAAATGGAAATCTCGAGGGGGGGGGGTGCAAATCGAAAGTTTGAGGGGGGGGGTGCAAATCGAAATCTTGAGGGGGTGGGGGTGCAAATCGAAATCTTGAGGGGGGGGGGGTGCAAATCGAAAAGTTTGTCCCCGGGCGCCGGGAAGGGTCGCTACGCCTCTGTAAGTTGGTTTTCGGTTAGAAATATTCAGATCTGTTGAGAACATAGTACACTTATTTTGAACATTTGGAATAATCGTTTAGGAATTTGAGAACACATTGGATAGATCATATCTTTAAACAATGTATACACAAGTCCCATTTATTCTATTTATTTGCAAGAAATTTACATAACATTACAACTTCCCAAGCTTTCAAGGTTTGTAGAACATAAGCTTGTAGTATTTAGCTATTTGCAAATCCGGTAATTAAGTTTTAATTTTAAAAATCAATCTGAGTTAAAAAGTTATTCGCAAAACAAAACTAAAATCTGTTGTCGCTGTGAATAAAATTAGCAGCGCAAAAACATATTTTCGCATCCATTGCTGTTTCAGTGAGCACATAATGCTATAGTGATGACAAGTGACCTTCACCTTAACACAGGTGTCGTGGATTTGTGTCAGTGTGTTATCTAGTTATACTGTAGATGTCAGCTTACAGTTGTTAAAAATAAACCTTTACATTGTAGATGCTAGCTTATAGTTGTTAAAAAAAATAATCCTTATCTTGTAGGTCGAGGTTGTAAAAATAAGTAATGTAGGTTAATAAAAGTTCTTTTAAAGAATTTTTTTGAAAAAAAAATATTTTCATTCAAGTTAAGAACAGATTATTCAAATAATTAGGTTGCCAACATGTTTGTATGTGTGTTGGTGGTGATTGATGTACACACTAATTAGTATGTTTGTTGGTGATGATTGATTGATGTACACACTAATTAGTATGTGTGTTGGTGGTGATTGAAGAACACGCTAATTAGTATGTGTTGTAGGTGGTTGATGAACACACTAACTAGTATGTGTGTTGAGGGTGGTTGAAATTAGCCCAATTAACAGGATGCACGAGGCGCGTGTCACATGTCAGTACCTGGTTCTGCTCTCGGTGCTTTGTCTGGTCCAGGGTCAAACGTGGACAAGGTCAGCGGACGTACCACGTGACCGTATTATCTCTGAGACGTCACGTAAGTGTGTTACATTTCTAAACCTTCGCCGGTACCTGTGCTGTGAGTACTTTTAAATTGACTGCCGTCAGGTAATGTAAAATGTTGGTGTTTGATGTTGATTTACGTGTGCTGTGAGTGGTTTTAAATTCACTTGTCTGCTGTTGACCAATATATGAAAGCTGTTTCTGTTGTTGATTAGGTTAATTAATACGATTTTAGTCTAGTGGTAAGCTGTGAGCTATTTATGTACATGTTCATATGCTGTAAGCGTAAGAACATGGTGCTGGTTTACTATTAGCTTACATTGCAACGCTATAAGTGGGCCAATAAAAAAAAAACCTACTTAACTTAGATTTAGGGTTATAGGGTTCTTTCAGACATTTTTCTTCTGGGAGGACGAGGGAAGTGGGGGAGGGGGTTTGGCACTGCGGAAGGAATTCTGAAAGAAAATCAGGATATACCAAATACCCCTTGTATTGTAACTAAGTAGTGTTATAAACTCTATTCATACAGAATATTATATCAACTTCAAGGTATAAATCATATGTACCAATACACCAAGCATCCTTATCAAGGTACAAACATTATAAGGGAAACGTTTTCATGTAATTCACAGTATAAATGCTATTCACATTTCATCTTTGTCTAAATCAGGGGTTCCCAACCCCGTGCCCCCGGGCGCCACGGCGCCCGCCGAACGATTCGCATGTGCCCGCCTCTCACTATTCGCAGAGACAGAATTTTTTTCATAAACATTATTGAAAGGTTGAAGGGGATGGAAATCGAAAGTTTGAGGGGGGGGGGGGGGGGGGGGTGCAAATCGAAAAATTGAAGGGGGGGGGGTGCAAATCGAAAGTTTGAGGAAGGGGTGCAAATCGAAAGTTTGAGGGGGGGGGGGCAAATCGAAAGTTTGAGGGGGGGTGTAAATCGAAAGTTTTGTCCCCGGGTGACGGGAAGGGTCGCTACGCCTCTGGAAGGAGTTTGTCGATTTAAAATAGGTGGTGCCCGCCACCCTACCGATATTTTAGAATGTGCTCTAGAGTGAAAAAAGGTTGGGAACCCCTGGTCTAAATCAATGTATAAATTCTAAGTACAAAGCATATTTAGTTTTGGCATATTTAGATAAATATCGCTATCTTTCAGTTATCCACACAGTTGTTAAGCTTTACACACATCTCTCTAATTATAATATCCAAATCAATATATGAATTGCTTGCTAATTAATTGCTAGTATCCACTGTATCCATGTGCTTACAGGTGCAACATGTCGCCTGTCGCCTACCTCCTGTTGGTGTGGGTCTCTGGAGCCCTGGCCTTCCTGATAGGGCCGGTGCCCAACCTGCCCATGACGGGACCAGCGACGGGGGAGGAGGGCAAGTTTCGTTTCGCAGCTGTGGCCTCAAACACGGACACCTGCGCTCGGGTGGGGACGTAAGTCATGCAGTCATAGGGCTCAATCATCCAAAGGTCATGGGGCTCAATCGTTGAAGGTCATGGGGTTAAGTCATACAAGGTCATGGGGCTCAGTCATCCAAGATGATAGGGATCAGTCATGCAAAGGTCGTGGGGCTCAGTCATACAAAGTCATGGGGTTAATTCAAATGTCATGGGGCTCAGTCATACAAATGTCATGGGGCTCAGTCATACAAATGTCATGGGGCTCAGTCATGCAATGTCATAGGGCTCAGTCATTCAAGGTCATGGGGTTAAGTCATTCAAGGTTATAATACTCAGTCAAAGAAGGTCATTGGGCTCAGTCATACAAAGGTCATGGGGTTAAGGCATACAAGGTCATGGGGCTCAGTCATTGGTCATAGGGCTCAGTCATTTAAGGTCATAGGGTTAAGCCATACAAGATCATGGGGCTCAGTCATACAGGGTTATAGGGCTCAGTCATACAGGGTTATAGGGCTCAGTCATACAAAGTCATGGGGCTCAGTATTATTTTCTTAGCAAATTACATTTATAAATTAAAAAACCACTTTTTAAAAAACTACTTTTAGTGACATGATGGCTAAAAATGGCGGCAATGCCGTGGACGGTATGGTCGCTACTTTGATCTGCAATGGTCTCGTCCGTTACCAGAGCAGTGGCATTGGTGGGGACAGTATGTGGACAATATACCACAGGTGGGTGACAGGTGTGGACAATATACCACAGGTGGGTGACAGGTGTGGAAAATATACCACAGGTGGGTGACAGGTGTGTGGACAATTTAACACAGGTGGGTGGCAGGTGTGTGGACAATTTACCACAGGTGGGTGACAGGTGTGTGGACAATTTACCACAGGTGGGTGACAGGTGTGGACAATATACCACAGGTGGGCGAAAGGTGTGGACAATTTAACACAGGTGGGTGGACAATTTACCACAGGTGGGTGACAGGTGTGTGGACAATTTACCACAGGTGGGGACAGTATATGGGCAATTTACCACAGGTGGGTGACAGGTGTGGACAATTTACCACAGGTGGGTGACAGGTGTGTGGACAATTTACCACAGGTGGGTGGACAATATACCACAGGTGGGTGACAGGTGTGGACAATTTACCACAGGTGGGTGACAGGTGTGGACAATTTACCACAGGTGGGTGGACAATATACCACAGGTGGGTGACAGGTGTGGACAATTTACCACAGGTGGGTGACAGGTGTGTGGACAATTTACCACAAGTGGGTGGACAATTTACCACAGGTGGGTGGACAATTTACCACAGGTGGGTGACAGGTGTGGACAATTTACCACAGGTGGGTGACAGGTGTGTGGACAATTTACCACAAGTGGGTGGACAATTTACCACAGGTGGGTGGACAATTTACCACAAGTGGGTTGACAATTTACCACAGGTGGGTGACAGGTGAGGACAATTAACCACAGGTGAGTAACAGGTGTGGACAATTTACCACAGGTGGGTGGACAATTTACCACAGGTGGGTGGACAATTTACCACAGGTGGGTGGACAATTTACCACAAGTGGGTTGACAATTTACCACAGGTGGGTGACAGGTGAGGACAATTAACCACAGGTGAGTAACAGGTGTGGACAATTTACCACAGGTGGGTGGACAATTTACCACAGGTGGGTGACAGGTGAGGACAATTAACCACAGGTGAGTAACAGGTGTGGACAATTTACCACAAGTGGGTGGACAATTTACCACAGGTGGGTGGCAGGTGTGTGGACAATTTACCACAGGTGGGTGGACAATTTACCACAAGTGGGTGGACAATTTACCACAGGTGGGTGACAGGTGTGGACAATTTACCACAGGTGGGTGGACAATATACCACAGGTGGGTGACAGGTGTGGACAATTTACCACAGGTGGGTGACAGGTGTGTGGACAATTTACCACAAGTTGGTGGACAATTTACCACAGGTGGGTGGACAATTTACCACAGGTGGGTGACAGGTGTGGACAATTTACCACAGGTGGGTGACAGGTGTGTGGACAATTTACCACAAGTGGGTGGACAATTTACCACAGGTGGGTGGACAATTTACCACAAGTGGGTTGACAATTTACCACAGGTGGGTGACAGGTGAGGACAATTAACCACAGGTGAGTAACAGGTGTGGATAATTTACCACAGGTGGGTGGACAATTTACCACAGGTGGGTGACAGGTGAGGACAATTAACCACAGGTGAGTAACAGGTGTGGACAATTTACCACAAGTGGGTGGACAATTTACCACAAGTGGGTGGACAATTTACCACAGGTAGGTGACAGGTGAGGACAATTAACCACAGGTGAGTAACAGGTGTGGACAATTTACCACAGGTGGGTAACAGGTGTGGACAATTTACCACAGGTGGGTAACAGGTGTGTACAATTTACCACAGGTGGGGGACAGGTGTTGACAATTTACCATTTGTGGGTGACAGGTGTGGACAATTTACCACAGGTGGGTGACAGGTGAGGACAATTAACCACAGGTGAGTAACAGGTGTGGACAATTTACCACAAGTGGGTGGACAATTTACCACAAGTGGGTGGACAATTTACCACAGGTGGGTGACAGGTGTGGACAATTTACCACAGGTGGGTGACAGGTGTGTGGACAATTTACCACAAGTGGGTGGACAATTTACCACAGGTGGGTGGACAATTTACCACAAGTGGGTTGACAATTTACCACAGGTGGGTGACAGGTGAGGACAATTAACCACAGGTGAGTAACAGGTGTGGACAATTTACCACAGGTGGGTGGACAATTTACCACAGGTGGGTGACAGGTGAGGACAATTAACCACAGGTGAGTAACAGGTGTGGACAATTTACCACAAGTGGGTGGACAATTTACCACAAGTGGGTGGACAATTTACCACAGGTGGGTGACAGGTGTGGACAATTTACCACAGGTGGGTAACAGGTGTGGACAATTTACAACAGGTGGGTAACAGGTGTGTACAATTTACCACAGGTGGGGGACAGGTGTTGACAATTTACCATATGTGGGTGACAGGTGAGGACAATTAACCACAGGTGAGTAACAGGTGTGGACAATTTACCACAGGTGGGTAACAGGTGTGTACAATTTACCACAGGTGGGTAACAGGTGTGTACAATTTACCACAGGTTGGGGACAGGTGTTGACAATTTACCATATGTGGGTGGATATTTCTATCTGTCCAACAAAATTCTGTCCAACAAAAGTCCGTCCTACAAAAGTCTGTCGTACAAAAGTCTGTCCAACAAAAGTCTGTCCTAAAAAGTCTATCCTACAAAAGTCTGTTATCTTACCCAGGAAAACTGGCCAAGCCTACGCCATCAACGCCCGCTCTACTGCACCCAAGGCCAGCTACCCCACCATGTACGCCAACAGTTCCCGAGGAACCATTGAAGGTGACTCAACTATCTCCTAATTCACTCTTTGCCTTAAGCACAAATACAGCAAATCAGTCTAAATTATTTAGTCTTATGTGCCGAATACAGATACCATGCACAAATATTTTTGTTATTTTTAAAGCGATATTTCCGCAGGTTTGCTGTAGTTCTGTGGGATTTATCTGGAATAAATTATGGAGTTTTAGTATATTTTTTTTGTATTTTTGTGATATGTTTATGTGGTAGTATTTTATCTTGTACGTTCATTAGTATTTTCGTGTAAATACAACGGAATTCAAATGTATTTTTGTGATATTTCAATGGTATTTTATGATAGTTTTTCATGATGTTTTAATAATATTTTCTATGTATTTTTTGTTTCTTTTTTGTAGCATTTCTGAGGAATTTTTCTAGCAATACTGCCCGATTTCTGCGACATTTTGTGGAATTATTGTTGTAATTTTATTTTCAGTATAACCCAATTCTCCGACATTTCCACAGGTGGGAGCTCCGTGGCAGTTCCAGGTGAGGTGCTGGGGATGTGGGAGGCTCACCAGCTCCTGGGGCGCCTGCCGTGGAAGGAACTCTTTCAGCCATCCATTAGGCTGGCACTGGAGGGCTTCCCATGTGAGCCCATTCAGGCTTCTGCCATTAGGAGTCAGTTGAACTCCGGAGTTTATGACCGCTGGCCACAGCTCAGGTAGTGTTTAGCTCAGGTAGTCGTGTTAAGCTCAGGTAGTCGTGTTAAACTCAGGTAGTTTTAATCTCAAGTAGTCGTGTTAAGCTCAGGTAGTGTGTTAAGCTAGAGGTTGTCAAGTTAAACTCAGGTTGTCAAGTTAAGCTCAGGTAGTTGTGTTGAGCTCATGTTGTCAAGTTAAGCTCAGGTAGTTGTGTTGAGCTCATGTTGTCAAGTTAAGCTCAGGTAGTCATGTTAAGCTCAGGATGTTGTGCTAAGCTTAGGTAGTCTTTTTAAGCTCAGGTAGTTGTGTTAAGCTCATGTTGTCAAGTTAAGTTCAGGTAGTTGTGTTAAGCTCAAGCAGTTGTACTAAGCTCAGGTAGTCTTTTTAAGCTCAGATAGTAAGCTCAGGTAGTCGTGTTAAGCTGAGGTAGTGTTAAGCTCAGGTAGTCGTGTTAAGCTCAGGTAGTGTTAAGTTCAGGTAGTTGCGTTAAACTGAGGTAGTTGTATTAAGCTCAGGTAGTTGTGTTTGGCTGAGGTAGTAGTGTTAAGCTCAGGTTGTTGTGTTAAGCTGAGGTAGTTGTGTTAAGCTCAGGTAGTCGTTTTAAGCTCAGGTAGTTGTGTTAAGCTCAGGTTGTCAAATCAAGCTCAAGTCGTCATGTTAAGCTCAGGTAGTGTTAAGTTCAGGTAGTTGTGTTAAACTGAGGTAGTTGTATTAAGCTCAGGTAGTTGTGTTTGGCTGAGGTAGTAGTGTTAAGCTCAGGTTGTTGTGTTAAGCTGAGGTAGTTGTGTTAAGCTCAGGTAGTCGTTTTAAGCTCAGGTAGTTGTGTTAAGCTCAGGTTGTCAAATCAAGTTCAAGTCGTCATGTTATGCTCAGGTAGTGGTGTGCGAGCTCAGCTAGACCGGACGTTTTCGTTAGGTTTTTAGTTATTTACAAGCTTTGAGCCTAGATAGTTATTTTTAGTCATTGATGTCGCTCCTGGTTGTGTAGTCCTGTAACACTAATGGACTTTGTTGACGTGGAATGTGTCACGTGATTCCAGAAATCTTGTGACCAACCCAGAAACACAGACGTGGTACCGGGCAGGGGAGACGGTTCGAAACCCGAAGTTGGCCCACACCCTACAGCGGCTGGCAGACGGCGGGGCAGCAGAGTTTTACAACGGAAGTCTGGCTGACGATATGGTGGCTGAGATACAAGCTGCAGGTGGGGTTGTGTAGGGGGTGGGGTTGTGTAGGGGTGGGATTGTGTAGGGGGTGGGGTGGGGTTGTGTAGGGGTGGGATTGTGTAGGGGGTGGGGTGGGGTTGTGTTAGGGGGTGGGGTTGTGTAGGGGGTGGGATCGTGTAGGGGGTGGGGTGGGTGAGATTGTGTAGGGGTGGGATTGTGTACAGGGTGGGGTGGGTGGGATTCTGTAGGGGGTGGGGTGGGTGGGGTTGTGTAGGGGGGTGGGGTGATATTGTGTACGGGGTGGATGGGATTGTGTATGGGGGGTGGGTTGATGGGATAGTGTAGGGGTGGGTAGAGAGAGGGTCGCGGGTGGGATTGTGTAAAGGGTGTGTGAGTGGGAATATGTAGGGGTGGGAGTATGTAAAGGTGGAGGGGGGATCGTGTAAGGGAGGTGTGGAGGGTGGGATTGTTTAGGGGCGGGGGCCGGTGTTAATGTGTAGGGAAGGGGGCGCATCTGATTGTATAGGGAGGAGGACGTATATCATTGTATAGGGGAGGGGGTGCAAATACTAGTTGCCAGATAACATTTTAAGAAATGTTGTCTAGAATATTGTTGATCTAGTAGGCACTCACATTTAAAAAAAAAAACTTTAAAAAGTTGAAGACAAATATGTCCCATTCCCCTAGGTGGAATCATCACAAAGGAAGATTTCAGCTCCTACGCTGTCCAGTTCCAGACACCCCTCCGGCTCGATCTCCATGGCAACCTAACCATCTTCTCACCTGGACTGCCATCTAGCGGTCCTGTCTTGCATTACATTCTCAATATTTTGTCGGGTAGGTCATCAATACCGTTGTAAGGTTACCTTTGATCAGCATGTGCATGCACTGTTCCACTCTACTTCACCTACGATCTGCCTGCCGTGTTCCACTCTACTTCACCTACAATCTAAATGCACTGTTCCACTCTACTTCACCTACAATATCCAGGCACTGTTCCACTCTACTTCACCTACGATCCACACGCACCGTTACACTCTACTTCACCTACGATCTCCCTGCCCTGTTCCACTCTACTTCACCTACGATCCACACACACCGTTCCCCTCTACTTCACCTACGATCCACACACACCGTTCCCCTCTACTTCACCTACGATCCACACACACCGTTCCCCTCTACTTCACCTACACTCTGCCTGCCCTGTTCCACTCTACTTCACCTACAATCAACACGCACCGTCCCACTCTACTTCACCTACGATCCACACGCACCGTCCCACTCTACTTCACCTACGATGTACCCGCACCGTTCCCATCTCCAGGCTACCAGATGAGCCCGGACGACATCTCGACTGACGACAAAACAGTGCTCACCTACCACCGCATGATTGAGTCCTTCAAACACGCCTACTCGGCCAGGTCGAAGATGGGCAGTACAGACGGCGAGACGGCAGATTTTGTTCGGGAAATGGAGCAGGTTAGTGGGATATAATTTTCTAGTCAGTAGTTGTTCGTATAAAGGGACAACTGGTAAGTTTAGATGGGACGATGAGTTGAAAGATTTAATTTGTTCAGTAGAAGTAAAAAAATATTAAAGTTCCCTTTTCGAATCTGACGGTCCATTAGGCATGTGAAGTAGAGTTCACCTGTTTCTGTGACCTCGGCATTGAGTGTGGTCAGCCGCTTCTTCGGTGAAGCGACTTCGTTAAAATAGACAGAGAAACGTCAGATTTAGCTCGTATAATGCAGGAAACTATTACGGTCAAATAAAATGCCGAATTTTGTTCGTGCGACTGAGCAGATACATAAAATAAAATACGGTAAGACTTCTAATTCCTTGAGTACAATGAAGAACGTTCATGAGATTGTATGAGGCTTGTAATTAGAAATAAACAATTATCTATATATATAATTCTCTTCTGGGAGACACTAGAAAACAAGCTGTAAACGCGCTTCCTACCACCCCCACCCCAACATGGTTTTAGAGAGCTGTGTTCAGTCTAAATGTTTACAAGCAGAGCCGGGTTTAGTGACGACTATTAGGGGCAGATAATTTAGTTTGAAACGATTTTAAACGTAGGGGGGGGGGGAGGGGGGGGGGGGGGGGAAAAGGGGGGGGGGGGTTATGGTCCTTAACGTGCTACTTATAGTGTTTTAAAGAAATATTTTCATTGGCAGCGTTGGTACTGTCGAATTCACAAATTATGAATTACTGAATGGTAGAAAAAACAACAACTAAATAGCGGCGTATGTTATGCCGCGGGTCGGCTCGTACCTAAGAACACATCTAAACACATTCGTCTGGCTGTGATCGCACTAACTTAGCCAGGGACATTGCGATCTAGTTAACTGTTAAACCAGCGGTTCTTCACCTGGGTTCGACCGAACCCTAGGGTTTCGGTGAGTCAGTCTCAGGGGTTCGGCGGAGGTCAAGACACACACCTGACTCTTAAGATTCACGATCAACAGAACTATTAAGAAGTGTTCGGTGAATGCGCTTAAGAAACTGGTGGGGTTCGGTACGGTCGGTACGCCCAAAAAGGTTGCGCACCAACATGATAAACTAAGGGAGATCATTCTTGAATCCACAGCTTGTGGCCAACATCACGTCTAGAGATCAAGGGGAGGCGATCAGGGCCAGCATATCTGACACGACCACATACCCGTGGACGAGTTACCACCCTTCGTTTGTCGTGACCGAGGACCACGGGACGTCAAATCTGGCTGTGCTGGGCCCTGATGGTGATGCCGTCACGGTGACGTCAACGGTCAACTTGTTGTAAGTGGGCGGGCGTGACCCTTTGGCGTGGTCAGTGGGTCAGGGTCTTATTTGATTTCACATGGAGACCTCAGTTACAGAGGCGTAGCGACCGTTCCCGCCGCCCGGGGACAAACTTTCGATTTGCACCCCCTCCCTCAAACTTTCCATTTGCACCCCCCCCCCCTCAAACTTTCAATTTGCAGCCCCCCTCCCTCAAACTTTCGATTTGCACCCCCTCCCTCAAACTTTCCATTTGCACCCCCCCCCCTCAAACTTTCAATTTGCAGCCCCCCCCCCTCAAACTTTCAATTTGCAGCCCCCCTCGAACTTTCGATTTGCACCCCCCCCCCCCTCGAACTTTCAATTTGTTTTTCCAACCGCCCCTCCTCGCTACGCCTCCAACTTGGTGGTTGGATCGTTAAAAATATTCACTAATTAAATTCGTATATATTAATATACATTCACATATAATTAATAAACAGTGTATTTCAATTGTAGTAAAGTAAATAATCCTCTTTAGACCTAGCGATCCATTGGGAGATGAAGTAGAGTTCATGTGTTTCTTCACCTCGGCGTATGAAGAGAAGATATGACCAGCACTTTATCAGCCGCCTTTACTTACCCTTACGAGTTAGGTACCCATCAGAGCTGGGTGGACTCAGCGAATGACTTGGACCCGGATTCGAACTCTAGACTTTTGGTTTATTAGCCTAGCGCTCTACCGCTTAGGCCACGCCGTCCCATAACTCAATTGTAGAGCATTCTTGATGAAAGTAACACACACTGACCACAGTATACCTTGAAGTGAAAGACAGCTGGACATAGTGCTAACCATACTGTCACATACAGGTCAAAGAAACAATTGTACACCTCTTCACCTTTCCTATCGACTGGAAATTTATTTGTACAAATATTCTTATAGAAGATCGATGACAACTAATCATTGAGTTTGGATAGTTCCAGTCAATGAGCTAATTTTATGTTTAGATTTCGTCTATCATCTATCTTAATTTGTGTATGTAGTTAGGGGTCATCCATTTATGACGTCCACACATTTTTTTGGATTTTGGACCCCCTCCCCCCCCCCTCGTCCACGAAAAACCATTTATTTCCCTTATAAAAGTCCATACGCGTCCACAAAAGTCAATTTTCTTCGGACCTTCCCCCCCCCCCCCCACCGTATGGACGCCATAAATGGATGACCCCTAATTCTATACATTCTTTTAAAAAGATTCCTGTTTATTTCTATACTCTGTAATAAAACTCCGGTACTCCAAATATATTTGATACATCACCCCCCCCCCCCCCCCCCACAGTTTCGGCTCTAAGGTCGTGGGGGACAAGACCGGGGTCGTGTACAACAACCTGATGGACGACTTCTCCGTACCGGACCGGGTCAACGACTTTGACGTGGAGCCCTCCCCCGCCAACTTCATCAAGCCCGGCAAACGACCGCTGTCGTCCATGTCGCCGTCGGTCGTAGTCGACCAGGAGGGTCAGGTGGTGCTGGCCGTGGGGGCGGGGGGCGGCACCAAGATCACCACCACCACCGCGTTTGTATGTGGTGCTTTGTCTGCGGTTACCATTAGTATGTCACATGATCACCAACAAGTCACCATCAACGATATAATCAAAGCAACACAATCTGTTATTAAAGGATTACAAGAACACAAATAAAACGTCACCCCCATCTCAGTACATCCTTATTAACTACACATTTATTGTAAAGTTCACTTTATGAATCTAACGGTCCATGGGGCAAGTGAAGTAGAGTTCACCTATTTCTTTAACCTCGGAGTAGTGTGGTCAGCACTTTGCCCAACCGCTTAATACTTTCCCTAACGTGAGTTAGGTACCCGTCAGAACCGGGTCGACTAAGGGGCGTTCTGCTCACTTGAACCCGGATTCGAACTTATATAGACTTTCGGCCCATCAGACTAGCGCTCTACCTCTTGGCCACGCCGTCCCCTATTACACACTACCCACCCGTTATTTTACGTACCACAAACACTTCATTGACATACCAAAATATAGACATCATTGACATACCAAAACACAGACATCATTGACATACCAAAACATAGACATCATTGACATACCAAAACATAGACATCATTGACATACCAAAACATAGACATCATTGACATACCAAAACAGACACATCACAATCATATCACATACGTATATAATGCATCTATCCTACCCCCCCCCCCCCCCCACCAACTCCCAACAGCTGACCGCTATGACGCTGTGGATGGGTGAAGGGATCAAATCTTCCATCGACGCTCCACGCATTCACCATCAGCTCTACCCAGATGTGGTCGAGATGACAGCCGTGTCACCACAGGTAAGTGTGACGTCAATGGTGTCACCACAGGTAAGTGTGATGTCACAGTGTCACCACAGGTAAGTGTAAAGTCATCGTTTAACTACAAGTAAGTATATCGTCACCGTGTCACCAAATGCAAGTGTGACGTCACTGTGTCATCACAGGTAAGTGTGACGTCACCGTGTCACCGCAGGTAAATGTGACGTCGCCGTGTCACCGCAGATAAGTGTGACGTCACGGTATCACCAAATGCAAATGTGAAGTCACGGTGTCACCACAAGTAAGTTTCACGTTTATCATCACCTGTACATGCAACTTAAGTCACCACAAGGAGGTACAACCAGCCATCTCACCACCTGTGCTCACACCACTTTAAACTATTTCATTTTTTTCCTACATCCCCAGTGGCTGCTTGAAGGCTTACGTCACAAAGGTCACAATGTCACAATCACTTCCGGTGTATTCAGCAGCCCTACAGGTATACTACAGCGTCAAGAAGGGGCCGTAACTGCCAATGCCCAGAACGCAACAGTGGACGGCTACTAATGTTTACTTTAGTCAACAATGGACGGCCACTGAAGTTTTCTTTAGTTAACATTGGACGGCCACTTACTTTTCCTTTATCGGTAGAGGATACTAGTTTTTTTTAGTTAACGGGTCATTAGTGGATATATTTTCTAGAAATTCTAACTGATCAAAATAAATAAATAAATATTTAATTGTTTTTTTTTCCCTTTTTTTCTTTTAATAATAAAAAACAACTTAGATGGCAAGTAACCACCTATCATACAATGTAAATTCATGAAGAGTTTCCGAATTTATTAGAAATAACGGATGACTTTTTCCATTTATAAAGACTTAAGATGAAATTTATTAATCCTATTATACTATTAACACGCATTAGCTCATTAGTTTTACGACACAATGGCGTCTATTTTAAGCTAGTACCGAAGCCTTAATGGTTATTTAATGTAAGGTGAATTAAATTAAACAAAAACAGACAAATTAAAAAAACGCGATTAAACAGGAAAAATCTTTAAAGCCAGGAGCATGGCAACATGGAGAAAGTAGGCCAGCATGTAGCGTAATGTAAGTCGTCTGCTTCCGGTGACTGGGTCTAATGGCCGTTAGAATTATGACAACAGCTGGGGTGGTTTTACTTCTGCTCTAATGGCTTTACCCCCCGGTGACACCACCCCTGGCTGTAGGCGCTGTGGGGTGTTAACAGGCGGAACATGCTGATGCGGGGTGGGGGTGAGGGGGAGGGGGCGGGGTGAACAGGTAAATGTGATGAGGGGTGTAGACAGACATAAATTGTAGAGGCTGGGGGGGGGGGGGGGCAGACATTACAAAGTGGCAAAAGGTTATTAGTAAAGAGACTGCTGACTTGTACAGGTAATGGAGAACCCAGGATTACATGAAATTCGAAATCAATCAATCGAAAAATTATAACGGAAAGTTAAATAACTCATTAGCAACATGTTTGTTTCACAAAATTGCAATCGACCGAATGTAATTTAAAACTAATTAACACCAGGTATGAAGTGTAACACAATCACACGGGATATCAGTAGACATTGCCGTCTGCTGACCTAAGGTTCTTATGATTTCTCCAGGTTGCCGTCTGCCGACCTGACCTTAGATTCTCTTGAACGAAAAAAAAATGACCGTTTTCTAACTTTGTAAATATATACTTTAGCCAGTGCCGCCCCCACACCCTCAACTTTAAGTTGCCCAACCCCCACGAAGAGAATTGTCTGAACCAACCCTGGTTAAACCTATTACCACGTCTGAACGAAATCTGGTTAAACCTGTTACAACGCTACGGACCTGTGACATGAAACCTCTCACCAATTGAGGTTTGAGAGTTCTAGTCGTCTGCTGAGGTTTAAGAAAGTGTCGTCTGCTGAAGTTTAAGAAAGTGTCGTGTGCTGAGGTTGAAGAAAGTGTCGTCTGCTCAGGTTTAAGAAAGTGTCGTCTGCTCAGGCTTAAGAAAGTGTGGAGTCGTGTGCTGAGGTTGGAGAAAGTGTCGTTTGCTCAGGTTTAAGAAAGTGTCGTCTGCTGAGGTTTAAGAAAGTCGCGTCTGCTGAGGTTTAAGAAAGTGTCGTCTGCTCAGGTTTAAGAAAGTGTCGTCTGCTCAGGCTTAAGAAAGTGTGGAGTCGTCTGCTGAGGTTTAAGAAAGTGTCGTTTGCTCAGGTTTAAGAAAGTGTCGTCTGCTCAGGTTTAAGAAAGTGTCGTCTGCTGAGGTTTAAGAAAGTGTCTTCTGCCCAGGTTTAAGAAAGTGTGGAGTCGTGTGCTCAGGTTTGAGAAAGTGTCGTCTGCTGAGGTTTGAGAAGTTATCGCGTCGTGTGCTGAGGTTTAAGAAAGTGTCAACTGGCGTGCTAATACTAGTCACACGTTTCACAGCTTACACTTAATTGTGTATTTCTTTAAAAAAAAAACGTGTTGCGTGTTGTTTGCAAGGTTTGTAGGTGAAAGTTGGAAGACGACCAAGAAATTAAATTATATTTTTTTAGGGTGATTTCATCACGTGACAAGCAAACAATCCAAATAACTAAGCTGACGCCATGCACTTTTAGGCTGGTCCAATCATTTGACAGCAGACGACATCAATAGGTGTGGGGGTGTGGTTGGTATTATAACAATACACAGGACCGTTGACCATATAATACAGAAACTAGAATGACGTTATAAAAAAAAAACTAAATTATATCGCGATTGTCCAGATAATGACTTACTAGTCTCAATGATCGAGGTTTAAAAAAAATGACATGATTATTAATCACCATTTAACAATTAGCGTATCCTCTATGAGCCCCCGTCACACTCCAATGAATATGCAGTAACTCATTCCAGGTCAACATTTCATGACTTGGTTTTACAAAGACCACTAGTAGTACCTTCAGCTCTATTGGGTACCTGGCATAGGTTTATACAAAACAAAGGGGGCTGAGCAATACACTACACCCTAAGTGAAAGAAATGGAGGATGCCCAATGCCCATATATTCAGATGAACACTGCCCATATAATCATATGCCCACTGCCCATATAATCATATGCCCACTGCCCACATAATCATATGCCCACTGCCCACATAATCATATGCCCACTGCCCATATAATCACATGCCCACTGCCCATATAATCAGATACCCTCTGTCCATATAATCAAATGCCCACTGCCCATATAATCAGATGCCCACGGCCCATATAATCATATGCCCACTGCCCACATAATCATATGCCCACTGCCCATATAATCATATGCCCACTGCCCACAAGGCTCACCTTGTATGGTGCACGGCTGCACTTTCTGCCGAAGTCTGCACGCACGAGCGTACACACACACACACACCATTTAACGTACACCTGGGGGGGGGAGCTGTTACGAGGTGGGCGGGGCAGAGTGGGGGGTCTGTTTATTGATATTGAAATCGTTTAATCACCCCGCATTAAGATATCGACCCCCGTAACGATTTGTAACATTCCTCCCCGAGCCGAGAGAAACAAATGACGGCTGGCTCTGAACGTGACATATGAACGTGACATATGAACGTTGCTCATGCTCAAGGTAAGCCAGATTTTTTGTTTGACACGGTCAAAGTTTTGGACTTGTTAACTTGCTTATTGTATTAGTTTAATTTGGTATGGATGGCTAATTGCTGGCTTGTTTATTGTATTAGTTTAATGGTCTGGGTGGCTAATTGCTGGGTTAAGTTTCGCTGGCTAGTTAGGCTTTAAGTAAAGTTTTTTTTGGTTAAGAAATGGCTGAAATGAAGTTTTCCTTGGCATGCTTTTTTTATAGTTAATTTTAATTAACTAGCTAAATGCTGTTAACTTTTGGTGGTTAGCTAATTGTTGAGTAAAGTTTTGTGACTGGCTTATATTTGAGTAATGATTAGGTGTCTAGCTTATAGCTGAGTAAAGTTTTGGTGAATTGCTAATTGTTGAGTAAAGTTTTGTTTTGCTTGGCTAGCTAAGTGTTGTGTTAAAATTTTTGTTAGCAAGTAGATTGTAGAGTAACGGTTACTGCACAAGCTAATAATAAAATATCTGATCATGAAAAAAAAATATCTTAACAAACAATGTATGCACACTCAAGAATTGAAGTATCATATCTAACTGTTCTCATTAATTAAAGTGTACATATTATTTTACACGGAAGAGGGGGGGGGGGGGGGGAGAGAGAAGAAGGTTTGTAATTAAAAAAAAACAACTTATTCTTATATTGTGTAGTGTATGGTCTAAGCAATCTTACTTAACACTGCCATTGTTTTTTTTTCAATTCTTTTCGCGAAATTTGGGTTGTTCTACAATCACTCTTTAAATCACACAAATCAAGGCTTTGAAATTTGTCTAAAAACTCTTTTCTCAAAACATATTGTGACTCGTATCAATAAAAAGCATTGTAGTACCAATTTGAGTAGTGTCTTGCGTGTGTGTGTGTGTGTGTGTGTGGTATGTGTCTGTATGTTGGATAGAAGGGGGGCGGGTGTTCCTATAAGTGTTTTAAAATAATAGGTGTGGTGGTCTGTGGAAATGACGTATAACGTTAGTGGAGTATTTCATAAAATATATGCTCGATCTTTTCCATAGAAATTGGCTGCCAAATTAGTTTATATTATGAGCTGGGATTAGTTATCAGTGCATGTGATTTCATTAAGTTGTTCAGTTTACCAACGTTGTGAATTTAATAAGGCCCTGGTCTAGAAATTTTTCAACAGGCAAATATGGTCCATGTCTTACATAGTTTCAAGTAAAATAACTACAAAGTTTAAAGTTGAATTCGGCCTCCGTCTTACAAAGTTTTAAGTCAAATATGGCCTCTCTCTAACAAGACAAATGTGGCCTCTGTCTTACAAGACAAATATGGCATCTGTCTTACAAGACAAATATGGCCTCTGTCTTACAAGACAAATATGGCCTCTGTCTTACAAGACAAATATGACCTCTGTCTTACAAGACAAATATGGCCTCTCTCTAACAAGACAAATAAGGCCTCTGTCTTACAGTTTTAAGTCAAATATGGCCTCTCTCTAACAAGACAAATATGGCCTCTGTCTTACAGTTTTAAGTCAAATATGGCCTCTGTCTTACACAGTTTTAAGTCAAATATGGCTTCTCTCTAACAAGACAAATATGGCCTCTCTCTAATAAGACAAATATGGCCACTGTCTAACAAGACAAATATGGCCTCTCTCTAACAACACAAATATGGCCTCTATCTTACAAGACAAATACGGCCTCTGTCTTACAACACAAATATGGCCCCTGTCTTACAAGACAAATATGGCCTCTGTCTTACAAGACAAATATGGCCTCTGTCTTACAAGACAATTATGGCCTCTCTCTAACAAGACAAATATGGCCTCTGTCTTACAGTTTTAAGTCAAATATGGCTTCTGTCTTACACAGTTTTAAGTCAAATATGGCCTCTGTCTTACAAAGTTTTAAGTCAAATATGGCCTCTCTCTAACAAGACAAATATGGCCTCTCTCTAACAAGACAAATATGACCTCTGTCTTACAACACTAATATGGCCTGTCTTACAACACAAATATGGCCTCTGTCTTACAAGACAAATATGGCCTCTGTCTTACAACACTAATATGGCCTCTGTCTTACAACACAAATATGGCCTCTGTCTTACAAGACAAATATGGCCTCTGTCTTACAAGACAAATATGGCCTCTATCTTACAAGACAAATATGGCCTCTG